ACGATCTCATTGAAATACGTCCGGGAAGACGGCAAGGACTTCATGGTGTTACGAGAGAAGGCGAAGGAAGACGATGGTGATCTGGACGGCCCCAAGGTGTATGAATGGAAGCTTCCGGTCTACGTCGACATCGGCCAGTGTGTTCTCATGGTGGATCAGGATGAATTCGACCTGCAGAAGTTGAAGCGGGAGTAAGCAGATTCTGAGAGATATGGCCGACCGTCTTTCGGAGCAGGGATTTGGAGCTCAGTGAGGTTACGGGACAGGGGATTGAATCAGGACAAGCAATTCAAAATGAAGAATGAGCACGTTGCTGATGCCAGCGACGCGTATAAGATACCGATTTGCGCCAGGCATTTACGTTCTGCGATTGGACAAACAGAATGAGGATTCGCAGCGTCTGACATGGCAACAGAACAGGTGGATGGTGCAATTGGCCTACAGGCTTTAGCCCGCCACTAGGTCCAGTTAGCAGAGTGACACTTCACGTACATAATAGAGGAACGACATGAGAACTATGCATCAGCGTTGCTGGCTTGAACATTTACAATCCAGTGTGATAGTCTTAGAGCAAGCCCCATAGAAGGAACACGTCAGTTTCCACAGATAAGTACCAGAAAAAAAAAAAAAAAGGAAAAGAAAAAGGAAGGAGGAAGATAGGAAGGATAAGCCGTATTGATATGTATATGGACAGATATATATTTATAATACTACGCAGGTGCTTTTGTAGGTATTCTTTATTATAGAAGAAATTAAAACTGAATTATAACTTTTTTGTATTGCTAGCGTATCACTCGAAGCATTATTCCAATCGAATATGTCGAGTCTAGACATTCTAGTGAGGCCTCATCCATGTCATATATGTGTTCATCGTCTTTTGCGGATGCGTCTCATTCTCCTAGAGCAAAGGGCATTCAAAAGTAATGCATCGAATATCTAGAACCCTAGAAAATGAAGAAAGTCGAGTAAAGGATGTAATAAGACGGAGTAGACTATGAAACAACATATCAAATAAACACATAGTAGATGAGCATGGGAAGGCAAACACGACATGTGGCAGATGTTTTCTGCCAGCCTACTCAGCCATAGTATCAATGACAACCGCTTCGCCGAACCTAACAGTGGATATGAAAAACAGACGGGGCAGACCAGATGTTTCGCGTGTAGTTTGTATGCATCGTGTCTCTTCGTGGACTCACAATTTCCCAGGGGACCGATGAGGGGTCCATAATAAGACAAAGCTGATGTGCAAAGTTTGCTTCGGTTCGCCTCACCAAATAAAGAGTTTCAACAGCTAACGGGAGAAGCCTACAAACGTGTCTCACGCATATCTCGAAGGATTCTCCAACGCCCATATGACCACAAATAAACCTTCTTCAGTAATTCGAGGCTTCGCGCCTGGGCACAAAACCCAACGGCGCAAGGCATGAAACCAGTGGGCAGACAACCCTAACGCCCTGTCTGAATATATGCCCAGGTTTCGCATTGCAACCCCGCAAAACGTCAAAATGGGTGACAGGCAGCCTCACCTGCAGACACGGGGTATGTAGTCGTCATGCCATGAAGACCGAAGCTCCGGTCTGAACCTTGGTGGAACTTCCGAAGACCCTGGTCAATCACCGTGCTGACGACCTGTATTAACCCTTGTTCAGTTGAGAGTACCTACTCAGCCATATGCAATAAACCAGGCTAGATAAATCACACAAATTGCCAAACGGAAGACCACGCATGCAAAAAAAGCACTATTAACGATAGTTACTTGTGGGTATAAACATTACAGCTTCTAAGCATTTGAACTCGCGCAGTAAACTAGCCCTTGCCTTTCCCTAGATACATAATAGTAAACATTAGGAGAGGGGGCTTATGCGCCCAGCGTGCAGTGCCCAACATCAGAAGAAACCAGATAAAACCTCCCCCCTTCCCCACATTGCCCCCTCTTCCTGAGCATCAAAGCTAATCCACAGGAACTTTTTTTTCAAAAGCTTCAATTTTAAAACTACAAAGGCAATGCCTATGCAAAAGAGGTCTAGTAACCTCTTTTAGTTACGAGAACCTTGGACCCGCCCCAAAACGTCTCCATGTCATGCGTTGTTGGTGAGATGCTGGTGTGTAAGCCTAAAAGCTCCAGTCAAAAGTGTCATCAAACACCATTCGAGGGCCCCGCGCCGCCGGTGGCGCCGAGGTGGCCGTGGTCACCCCCGTGCTGGCCCGGGTGGGTCTTCTGGGCGCCGGGCGCGCGGATGTGGAGACCCAACGCGGCGGGATCGATGTTGCGGTGTCCCCAGAGGAGGAGGAAGCCGAACCCAGGCTTAGCCAACACATCCAGGATTCCGTAGAAGAGGGCCTCAGAGTCCGGGTGAATGATGTTGCCGCCCTCGGCGACGCCCCAAGCGATGGGGTACAAGAACCACAGAAAGATGGTGAGGACGCCGCAGTTGGTGTAGGTGCGCTGGATGGAGCCGCCGAGCGCAGCAGCGTGCTTGCGACCCTCGAAGACCAGGGAGTAGACGACGTAGAAGAAGGCAAACATGCCAAACACCCAATATCCCCACTTGTAGCTCGTGCTGGTGAGAGCACCAACAAGTCCGGTGACAATCATAACCTCATCAGCGAGGAGGGCAATCATGATAGAGGGCCAAGGCAGGCCGGCGGTGAGGAGAAGATCCAGAAGCAGAAGCGGCGTGGTGACGAACCAGTCGATGTAGCGGACATAGTAGATCTCTCGAGTGCCGGCGCCGGAGACCTGGCTGTCGTTGGGGCGGGGGAACTCGACCAGAACAGGTGTCTGGCCGAGGCCGGCGCCCATGGAAAAGTACGATATGCAAGCAACAAAAGTGATGGATGCCGTGATGTAGTGGAAAAGGCGGTGCGTCTCGCGCTTGGCCATGCCCATGCCGAGGAAGGCGAGAGTCGAGACGGCCATAATGGCGCAGACGGCGAAGTACCAATCCGAGCCACGGGTGGTGACGGCCAGGTCGGCCTGGGCGCCGACGCGTCGGTTGGTGTTGAGGGCGTCGTTGGCCATTGTGGTTGCTCGTGTTATGTGACCAACCAAAACTTGCTGCATAGGGATGGTTTGTTCTCGAGTAAATGGGGATAACGGAGCAAGAACTGGAACAGAAATTCGAGGGGTCGTTATGCTTCTTGAGGCACTGCGACTCTGGGAAGCTGAGGGAGGAGAAAGAGGGGTTCAACCCACCCAATATATCCTCATCCGTACTCGTAACAGTGCTGCCCAGTCGCAACACAACATCTGATTTACACTCGAGACTAGAACACAGATGCCCAACCCCCTACCGACAATCCCGCATCTAGCCAAGAATGCTTTCGCTAGGTCGGGCTGTAGTGAGCACGTCCCATTGGACAAATGACATACAGGATACAGGTAACATCGTGGTTGCGGTCGCGGCGCACCATGAGCTCCGGATGACGATTAGACTCGCGATGGCGCGCTGGGCAGCTTGCTCGGACGTTTGGGCGCGAACAGACGGGCATTTTTGTTTCCCCAAAGGAGGACACCATCAGCTGGCAGACAGGATGGTAGCCTCCGCCCGTGGAAACGCACCTACGACAGAGACAAGACGCGGGGCTGCCACTACGACGGGCGCTACGGCAATCGATTGAAAGCTTGCCCAGCCATGTTTGCTTTTTGGGCACGAAGTTTCCCTGCGTTGCGAATGCTATTGCAACGCGCCAAAAGGGATGTTGTTGCGTGTTCCGCTACTGAAAAAGGAGCTAGCCGAGTTGCGAGCCGTATTTCCGACGTGATCAGTCTATGACGAGGTTCAGCATTCTAGGCCCATTCCCACTGACACGAGAGAGAACAGGGCAGCGACCTGGTGATGAAGGAGCTGCACTTTGCGACGAGTCACCGCTAGGTAATTCGTCCACTCGGTTGCCAGAATTGGGTAACAGCACATAGCGTCTGCACCGCGGATAAAGACTTCGTGTCGATGAAGTCACCACTTTGTCCGGGCTCTGCACCGGATGCTGCCGAGCGGTATTCCCGGGTCCCACAATGCCCGGAGCTAGCGCCGGCAAACGCACTTTTCGCCAAGTTGTCATGTCACTGGCCGCATATTTTCTTGCATTTCTGCACGCGAGAACGAACGCCGGTCCCCCCTCGAGGTAGAACCTAGACTCTGGCGCTCGAAACAACGCCTCCAACGGCGATTCGTCCCTCATGGGAAGCGATGAAGAAGCTTTTAGCTCCTCTTTGGCTGCTTTTTTGACCTGCAGCCCGCGCCGATCGCCAAGCCAGCCTCCCGATCTGGTCTCACACCCACGATTCTGATTCTCATTCTCTTTCTCTCCCGACACCCATGTATCAGAAATGGGTCTGATGACCATGCAGTTCGGGCTAGACACAAATCTTCCCCAGGCGTTTGACGCTCTGCGAAAGCTTGCCTTGCACCCCTGACCAGGCTCTCTTGGCAACTCAAAGATTGGCCATTCTCATTAGCCATCGACTTCTTGATGGCACCGCATCAGGAATCTCAGAAGCGGGGACCGGTTTCTTTGAGTTGTTCTTCCCCCGCTTTTGTTTGGACTGATAATCTGAGTTGGCAAGGCAGGGCGCGAGCGAGCTACGTGACAGGAGCTTTGGGCACAAAGATCTGAGCACCCCCGAACCCCCGAGCTCCTTCGTCCCATGTCGTCATCTAGCTCAAAGCTCTGGTCGGTTGATGGTAGTAGTCAGGTGTTTTGGCACCGCAACTTCGGCACATAATCGACTAGTCGTGAATCGTGGGGCTGGGAATGTGAAATCATTCTGACCGTCTTCAGAACAGTGCGATACTACCCACCGTGAGCGTGGACTTCGACGGGCCGTCTTGGTTTTGACCTGTCATCTGTTGAAACGATTAACTAGACATACCGGACGTTTGTCCTGTCTTTTCTTTCCCATAGTGGCTTTCTTGCGTGCCTGGTCGCCAAGCTTCTGAGAGCCGTTGTGAGACTGAGACATCAGTCTTCCCCCCAGACATCGAGCGGCGCTGAAGATGGCGAACGATGCTCTTCATGAAGATGATAAGCATCATCCGTGAGTACAATGGATTCCCTTTGGTCGAGGAAAAGGCGATGCTGACACGCGCGACAGCTATCTCTCAGGCAACTTTGCCCCAATCCAGTCATGTCTTCCGTTGACAGCATGCTCGTATGAGGGCACGATACCAGTTGACCTCGCAGGAGGCCAGTATGTTCGCAATGGCGGTAACCCCCTCACTAATGACGACCCAACTCGAGCTGCGCATTGGTTTGATGGCGACGGCATGCTCAGCGGGGTCCTCTTTCGGCGCGTGGGCGAGAAGCAGACCCAAATCCAGCCCGAGTTCGTGAACCAGTACTTGTTGACGGACGTCTACTGTTACGCCAAAGAGAGCAAGTCTCTACGTCGGCCCGTCCTGCCCAGCATTGCGACGCTTGTTAACCCAGCCCTCAGCATGTTCCGCATCATTTTTGAGGTTTTTCGCACCATATTCCTGGTACTCCTGTCACGACTTCCTGGGACTGGGCGATCGATCAAGAAGATCAGCGTCGCGAATACCAGTGTGCTTTTCCACAACGGTCGCGCGCTGGCAACATGCGAAAGCGGGCCGCCTCTGAGATTTGCTCTGCCGAGCCTCGAGACCATCGGCTGGTTCAATGGACGAGTTGCTGAAAACGAGCCGAGGAGTATCAGCGAAAGCGGTTTTGGAGGAACCGGTGTCACGTCCTTCATGAAGGAATGGACTACCGCCCACCCGCGCGTTGATCCAGTCACAAAGGAGCTCATTACCTTCCACTCAACCTTCATCAAGCCCTTTGTGCGGTACTCTGTCGTTCCTCCAACATCGTCGAAACTAGCAACAAGCCAGGCCATGTTCGATGTGGCAGTTCCCGGAGTTGAGTCGCCGAAGATGATGCACGACTTTGGTGTGTCCCGGCGGCACACCGTCATCATGGACCTCCCGCTTTCACTCGACCCGATGAACCTGATCCGTGGTGTCGCCAGCTTGTCATACGATTCCGCAGGCAAGTCGCGGTTTGGAATCTTCCCCCGGCATCAACCTGACGCGGTCCAATGGTTTGAGACCAATCCATGCACTGTCTTCCACACTGCGAATTGCTGGGACTCGGTATCGGCACCAACTGATCTCAATGGGCCGACAACGTCAGTCAACTTGATTGCTTGCCGGCTCACATCCGCATCGTTAGTCTTCAGCGCAGGCAATCTCCCTACACCAGAAGTGAAGCCGGTCCCGCCTGAGTATGCAGAGGAAGAGCAGTGTCGGCTCTACTACTACAACTTCCCCCTGTCAGGCATCCCCGGCGTCCAGTTCAACATCCGACATCAATGGGCTTTGTCGGCCATCTCACTCGAGTTTCCCACTGTATCACCGGAGTACTCGATGCAAGAGGCTCGTTACGTTTACGGTTGTTCGACTGGAGAGGCCTCCTACACCGTCGCGCTTGGCAAAGCGGCCAAGATTGACCATTTGGCCAAGGTCGACGTCCGTACGCTGATCAACCGAGGAATTGCGAAACCCCCACAACCAGTCAAAGGCTGTGTTGACACACGCAATGTGACTCAGGTTCTGGAGAGTAAGGACCCGAAAGACCCAATCAAGCTGTTCAAGATGCCCGAGGGCTGGTATGCCCAGGAGCCACGCTTTGTGGCTCGATCGCAGCCGCAGACGGAGGACGACGGGTGGTTGTTGACTTACGTCTTTGACGAATCACAACTTGACAGCAAGGGGGTCTGTCGCCCTAACGCCGCGAGCGAGCTTTGGATAATCGATGCCAAGGAAATGAAGAGTGTGGTTGCAAGAATAAAGCTACCACAGCGTGTGCCATACGGATTGCATGGTACCTGGTTTAGTGAAGACGAAATCAGGTGCCAGATACCTTTTGAAAGAGTGCGTACCGTTCATAATGACGACCAGAAGATGGAAGCATTCCAGGAAGATGGGGATGACAGCGATGATGAGCTCATGGGCCTGCTGGCGTTGGACTCTTTGATACCATAGCATTTGTGACCACAAGCATCCAGCTAGGTCCCTTATATTTGGCGATAAAAGTAGTAATGAACGCCGATGATTTGTTTCTTTCTCAAAACAGGGGACGTCGAGCTTGGCTGCTCAACTTGGCCGACCTTCAAAATGGCGTCGAAGTATTCTCGAGACTCCTTGGACAAGGACTTGAGGCCACGGGTTCCGATGAGAAGCGGAGACGCATACTTGGACATCCAACTGCTCATGGGATTATACCGCGTAGGCGCCGGCGTCCGATGCGAGTAGGTTCGGCACTCCGAGGGGTGCTCTCACCTCTCTGGCATAGCCTTCGCGGCGGCCATGACGGGCGAGGACGCTGGCCACCCGATGGACTCATCTTGCCGGAGCAAATGTAACATACACATGGGTATCGGAGTGTAGATTTAAGCAGCGTGTGGGCTGTATTCCGGAAAGTAGAGGATTCAAGTTGTAATTATGAACCACTTCAGCCTTGGCCGTGCCATAGACTGATCTTGGCTGCGTTATATTAGCGACGAAGGGGAGTGTCGACAACGGATATCCAACCTGTACTGCATACCTACATTGACGCGGGCTGGGAAACGTCTGTTGTCCATCTGATTGTTACCAGGTGAAAATCCATTAAGGCGGGAATGATGATCAGAAGGCGAATTTATCCCTGGTAGCCTGGCAAGCGCCATAGCTACATTGTCGCCCCCTCGGTTTACCAATGGTATTCGGACCATGGTGTTCGTGGTGCTTCCTCAAGACAACGTCCCGCACCAGCTGGAAATGTCGCGGAGGCAGAGGTCTTTTCCGTCTACCGAACCACCTCAGGCACCTTGAGGTATCCGTAGTAGGTAGAATTCATTTGCCTTACCCACCCGTTGGTCCCTCCCCCGCATTCGCAGATGGTGCACCCACAGGGGCTTGAAAGGCTGAACCAGGTGACATGTTGTGTGCCCGGGAGCCCTGAAACCAGCGCAGCCAGCGAAGGGAGGCCGGGGCCTATGTGTCTGGGGTGCACCACCTCTCAGGGCCATAAGCTCCCGTCTTCCCCTCCCCTACGGCACAACATGCCGCCAACAGCGCTTATGGTTATGCTTAAGCAAGACTTGCCATGCCTGGTCTGGCGCTCCATGTTTCTCTGCTCGCTCCGAAGCCGCGGAACCCACCCCATGCCGCCGCTGGCTGCAAATCCCGCTCCTCAATCAGACGTTGAGGCTCCCGCCCAATGTCGTCAATCTCAACGACAGTCGTTCCTCATGCTGTCCAGCAGTTCTCGTTACGATATCTCCCGACAGTAAATGTTGGGCGCAGGGAAATGGTGATGCCCAGACATTTGGTGAGCGCCGAGCAATGACCCCGCAGGGCAGTGCTGGACGGCGGCGATTATCATTGAAGGGATGGGGAGCGTTCGGCATCCAGATTTCGTCTTCTGACCTCCGAGACCGTGATGTGCGTGGAGAACACCCGATGCGCCCGTCACGTTCCGGCAAGGGAGGCCGAGTTGTTGGTGTCGAGTGGATTATTCTCCCCGCGTTTCGTGACCGAGATCCATTCTCCTCACCCGGCCCCGGCATGCAATGGGCCCATGGTTCATGTCCTGCATTTTATTGATAATTTTCTTTCGACGTCTTTTCATGTTCCCATTCCCAGCAGCTGGGCGATACTTTAGCGAGGATTGGCAAAAGGTTGGCAACATGGAGGACCCCCACACCTGTCATCTCGCGGCAGACAGATCTAAGCTCCGGGATGGGACCGGATTGGCGCAAAACTATGGGGGGATTAAGCTTAGCAAATGCCAAATGGGGTTGCAGCACGTGCGAATTGGGCGTCTGAATACGTGGCTGTTTGCCAACCATCTCCCAAACGTGCTTTCGTATCTCGGTTCTTCTCGTTGTCAACGACCTCTGGTATGGCGAGGCATGTTTTTGTCCGGCTCGCCGCACGAGCCTGTCATGCAGTCCTCAAGTCGCCGGACAGCATTCAATGTCTGCTCGAAGAAGGTTGGATCCTCTTTAATTATCTCGACGAATGTTGATGTGGGTGTTAGTTTGTTGAGATGTAACAAGGCAAGTCGACGCGAGAGCATGGATCTGGTGCAGCAACTATTGCAGGAAAGCCCCGGTTGGTGTCGTTTGGGATATCTCGCTGAGCCTGCAAAGTTGCGTCCTGTAGTATCAACTGGTGCGTGACCAACAAATCGGTGTCCGCTGGAATTGCTTCCTCAGGCCACTGGGACTTCCCGATAGTTTCAGCACCTCGTTCGTGACCAAAGTGGGCGGTAAAGTAGCAAACGGAAAAGCAAGAATGGGCAAGATGCTTGTCGGAGCCCACATATGAGCTTCTTGGCTCAAAGTATGCATGACGATTCGATGATAACAGGTTATATCGCCGGAACAGCGGTCATGTGCCAAAAGCTGCAGGACTGATACGATGATACGCGACCCGTTCTGTTTGATAATTCACCTCTAGGAAGAGATACGCGCAGATAGCCGAATGGTGGAACAGAAAGTCCTGGGTTGCGGGAGAATGCAAGTTGCCATGGACTGCGAATGCCAGAGAAATGCAGGTTGCCAGGTGCGTGCTTCAAGCGGGCGGAATGTACGAGAAGACGAAGGCTCAAGCGAAGCCAAGCGGATGGGCTGGAAGCGCGATGAAGGTCAGCAATCCATCAGACCTGTGACCGGTGTAGGAGCGGCTGGGATGTCGGGGTTGCGCCGTGCTCACCTACCGTTCCTGGTTGGCGAGCATGTGGATGCAGGATTGCGCGATTGGCTGCCGACGTCGACGGAGGGAAGTCAGAATCCTTCCACATCACGGCGATGGACTGATGAACAGGGCTCCTCCCTCCACCAGGCGCCAAACGTTTTCCATCTTGGTTTGCGAGAGCTTTTAGACAAGCTTAGTGTTTCGCGTTTTTGATGGCTGGAAAGAGAAAAGCAGATTCCCACCGATGCTTGGGTGCTGGCGTCGTGCAATGATGGCATGGCCGGATGGCCGGGTGCTCGCGGATTTCGACACGGAGTAGAGCAGTTGCAGGGGCACGAGTGAGAGCCCAAACGGAAATAGAAATCAAGGCATCGAATTTCTTGGTATGATGTCGTCCAGTCCAGGCGTTGTCTGTCAGAGGAGACGGCGAGCGAAGGTGAGGGGACGAGGAGGTTGGCGCAGCAGTTCGGTTTGGCGTGCCTGAGGTGAGTGTGAATTGGCTTTGCAGGGGCCGCATGGAAAGCCCGACTTATCTGAACAGTTGCAGTGGGGGAAAGAGTGTCATCTGATGTGATGTAGCCTTGGTAGGATTTCAATATGAAGGGATACTTGCATCGGATAGAGGAAGGAATATCCGCAGATAAGCGGGAGCGAGCAAAGCAAGAGCAGGTGCACTTCTTTCACAGTGAGCGAGTACTGTTGCAATTGCAGCAGGAGCAGTCGGTGGGTGCCGGGGAGGCAGGTGCTGTGGTGGTGCTGTGGTGCCTGCCTTCCCTCAGTGGTTCCTTCTTGCTTCTCTTCTGGAATGGAAGGTAAAGGTGGTGGGGCTAACGGCGCTAGTGTTTCTCGCCAAGAGCCGCTGCTAGAAAACGCAGTGAATTAGATGGAGGTTTACCGATGCTTCACCTCGCCTGAGGCACCTACCTAAGTAGGTAAGGTTTGATGTATTGGTTGTACTTGGGAATGTAGACAGCAGTAGCAGCAATCAGTGGCCAGGTATTTCTTTGTGTATTCCGTAGTAGATATCCTGAGTATCCCATCTGGTCTCCCCTCGCCTCTTCTATCGTCCGTATCTTTTTACTGCTTGTGCCTGTCGTTGACAGCTGCGTTTGGACGAAGTGCGTGCACTGCCACTCTTGTCGCCCCTATCAGCAGGCCAAGCGCCGTCCGTCCCCCTAGCGGTTCCGCCCCTCGTGATTGGGCGGCCGGTTTCCTCCTTCCCTGATGACGACGACCAGCCCGCTCTCGGCGGACATCGGTGCTCCTTGGCGGCGCCGCTGTGAGCTCCACACCCGGCCTCCCCACGAGTGGACAGCGACCGATCGATGCTCCCCGGGACACGACAGGAGCGGACAGCACAGCGGGCACGCCAGGAAAAGACCAGACGACGAGACTGAGACCAGTGCGAAGGCAGTTGGCCACTGGTTTGGTGCTTGTAGGGGCTGTGACGGCGATGCGTCACTGCGTTTCTCGCCATTCGACTGCACTGCAGGGGCTGGACTGCGCTGTTTCCACTGTTCCGCTGTCCACGAGACCGCTGGGGAAGGCAGGGAAACAGGGCGCAGACGACGATGACTGGAGGGCGCATGTTCTTGGCAACATCTCACCCTTTCCACTTTGCGCTCCCGCTCGGTGTTAGTGCCTGTTTCCCCCAGCTGATGATGCCCTGTGGCACCAGGCGAAACACCCGCCACCAAGCCGACTGGAAGGCAGTTACGTGTAGTGTTGTTGCTGGTGTCTTCCTTCCATCGCCGCTTCCCTGTTGGATTTGGCAGTCTCGCTGTTGCGCTTTCCTACAACGCAAGGCAGTACTTCCAGCAATTGGAAAGAAGGAAGCGACCACCAACCGGGAAGGCACCTGCCCCGTTTGTTCATTCTTGCCATTATGTAGTGTCCCTTCCCAAGTTAAACTTGCTGCCGTCACCAGCTACAAGCAGGACAAGGCGCGATTCCTCACCCAGCCCAGCATCTTTTTTTTTTTTTTTCCTCCCCCAAGGTTGACTTTCCTCGCCTCATCTTGCCGTCCACGAGGCCCTGCTACTCTACATCGGATTCATCCAACACAATCCGTGCCTCTTCCCAAGCACATCAACAAGCATCCAACCAGAACCCCTGCCAATCGCCAAGCTACCCACCACAGGTTCGTTCGTTCGTTATTCGTCGTCGTCGCTACGTTAGACGTGTCTTCCCTGTCTTCCATGGAACAGGTACCTTACATGCCATCATCCCACGCCGCCCATCCCTCCCACCACTTCCCTTGGCTCATTCACTAACAGTTGTGCTGCCAGACCGGCACGGAGCGGTAGCCGTACAGAGAAAGACAGACACACGTCCACGCCCGCATACGCACCATACTCAATCGACCGACGGATACCTTCTACTGCCTTTCGGTCTTCACTTCTTCGGCCCTACGTTCACTACCAATCCTGGCGCCCCAGCCAGTCCCGTTCGCTCGGCTCCATTTACCTCCCCCGACCGGCCGCCGTTGTCTGTTTCCAGTACTCGCACACCCCCCAAACACCCAAGAACCAAGACCCCGACGGAAGGGACCTGACGGATACATCCATCTTCATTCCCAGCTACCACCATCCATACGCTATTCAGCACTTGTTACTTTGAACCTGGCCCGTCTTCCCCTCCCTTGGCACAAGTCCCCTCGCCCGGGCCTCAAGTATAACTTGACACCACCCTCCGCTCTTGTTCCACCCTTCCTCTCTCTTCTCCTCCTTATCACCACCCCGATCACCCAAGCTCTACGCTTGCCATTCTCTCGTCAACTCTTCAACAAGACTTTCGTCTGCTGGGCTTTCACAAAAGCACCAACACCCTTGAATCTCGAGCGCCTTCTTTAGCTGAACCTACCGATATCCGATGGGAGAACCCGAAGCCGTCAGGCATGGTGAACAACACACAGCTGCTGCGGAAGTCAACCCCGAGCAGGACGAGCCACCGTCTATACCGCGGCCCCCGCCCATACCCAACCCCGTCCCTCAACGGCCTGCCCACGCCGCTCCTGCCTCGGACATAGGATTTCTCTGGCAGACCGACCTTGAAAATGGCCTCTCCAAGGCTGAGGCGCAAGCCCGCCTCGATCGTGATGGGCCCAATCGCATCGAGGGTGCCAAGGGCCTCTCCATTTGGGAGATTGTCATGAGGCAGATTTCCAACAGTCTGACCCTCGTTCTCGTGATCGTCATGATCCTATCTTTTGCCATTCAAGATTACATTGAAGGCGGCGTTATTACCGCCGTCATTCTTCTGAACATCGTCGTGGGGTGAGTCTTTGCCCACCTCGTTTTGCTTTCCGTCTTAGCATAGCCTGCCTTTTCTTCTGCCCTCTTCCCCCGATGGTTCTGCTGCACACGCGGGTACTTCTTTGACTCGCCTGTTTGGTGGTATGGCTGCATAGTGTGGTTGGTTGAACAAAATGCCACTTGCGCCGCCCGTGGGTTGGGTGACACCCCTCCCGGCCACTCGCCCAGAGAAGTGTACAAGGGTGTCGGCGGTGTGGCGCTTCCCCTGCCCCTGCCCGTGTCATTCACATCTCCACCAGCCTCACGTCTCACACTCGTCAACTCTTCGAATCTCGCTGCTGACAATCTCGTAGCTTTATTCAGGACTACAATGCCGAGCAGACAATTCAGTCTCTGTACGCGCTGTCCGCCCCGACATGTAAGGTCGTCCGCGACGGTATCGCGGAGACCGTCAAGGCAGATTCACTCGTCAAGGGCGATCTTGTCATGATCGCTGTTGGCGATGTCGTCCCAGCCGATCTCCGTCTTCTCGAGGGTATCAACCTCTCTATCGATGAGGCCCTCCTGACTGGCGAGTCGCTACCCATCAGCAAGCACCCTGAAGCCATCCTCGAGGAGGAGGACATCCCTCTCGGCGATCGCATCAACATGGTCTATTCTGCTACTACCGTCACTCGCGGACGCGCTCGCGGCATCGTCACCACTACCGGCATGGAGACCGAGGTGGGAAAGATTGCCATGATGCTGCGCACAACCCGCAAGCGAGACGAGAACGCCTCTCTGCCCAAGCGCGCTGTTATGCGCTTCAAGGCTGCCATGAAGAGCATCCTGGGTCTTGAGGGCACTCCCCTTCAGGTCAAGCTGAGCAAGTTTGCCCTTCTACTTTTCGGCCTAGCCATTCTGCTTGCCATCATTGTCTTCTCCGTCAGCAAGTTCGACATTGATGATCAGGTCCTCATCTATGGTATTTGCGTCGGAGTGGCCGTTATTCCCGAGTCCCTCATCGCAGTTTTGACCATCACCATGGCTGTTGGTACCAAGGCAATGGCGTCTGGCAACGTTATTGTCCGCAAGCTGTCTTCTCTCGAAGCCGTTGGAGGTGTGACCAACATCTGCTCCGACAAGACCGGCACGCTTACCCAGGGACGCATGGTTACCAGGAAAATCTGGCTGGCCGAAGACACAACTGCCATCATTGAGGGCACTACCGACCCCTATGATCCGACCAGCGGCACGGTTAGATGGCCCGGCTCCGCCGCATCGAGCTCGGCCTCTAGTGGAGCGTCGACCCCGACGGTTGAGAAGACCGACGACACCATCCAGACCTCTTCTATGGGCTCATTTCTCAAGGCCATTGCGCTCTGCAACAATGCCTCCGTTACCGATGGCAAGACGGCTACCGACACTGAGTCCATGACCACCGCCACCGAGGTGCCCGTCTCATGGTCCGCTATTGGCGAGCCCACCGAGATCGCCCTCCAGGTCTTCGCTATGCGTTACGGAAAGGGAAAGAACGACCTCGTCTCGTCTGAAAAGACGAAGATGCTCTATGAGTTTCCCTTTGACTCCTCGTGCAAGCTCATGAGTGTTGTCTACGAATTCCCCTCGGCCCCTCGCCAAGTATTCACCAAGGGTGCCGTTGAGGTTATGCTGCAGCGCCTGGCTGAGCCGGAAGCTGTCAAGGCCAAGATCGCCGCCAAGGCCGACGAGCTTGCCTCCGAAGGTCTCAGAGTCCTCTGCGTCGCTCACAGGTTCCTCGACAGCGACGACAATGCGAGCGAAAGAAACGAGGCTGAGTGCAAGCTTCGCTTCCTAGGTCTTGCCGGCTTGTACGATCCTCCCCGTGTCGAGACTCTTGGCGCTGTGAAGCTTTGCAAAACTGCAGGCATCTCTGTGCATATGGTCACTGGAGATCACATTAAGACTGCAACTGCCATTGCCCACGAAGTCGGCATTCTCACCGGAGGGGAGCAGCCGACAGCTGTTATGGCGGCTGGTCAATTCGACGCCCTCAGCAATGAGGAGGTCGATGCTCTTCCCGCTCTTCCCCTCGTCGTCGCCCGCTGCAGCCCATTGACCAAGGTCAGAATGCTTGAGGCGATGCATCGTCGCAAGGCTTACTGTATCATGACTGGTGATGGTGTGAACGACTCCCCCGCTCTCAAGAAGGCGGATGTTGGTATTGCGATGGGCAAGAGAGGCAGTGACGTCTCCAAGGAGGCAGCAGATATGGTTCTCACTGATGACAACTTCTCATCTATCGTCACTGCTATCAAGGAGGGTCGTCGCTTGTTTGACAACATCCAGAAGGTAGTTGATTTCCTTCCCGTTTTGTGAGCTCAGACTAACACGTAGATCAGTTCCTGCTCCATCTCCTGATTTCCAACATTGCCCAGGTCATCCTTCTCTTGATTGGACTTTCTTTCAAGGACCGCAGTGGCACTTCCATCTTCCCCCTCTCCCCCTTGGAGATCCTGTGGGTCAACCTCATTACTTCCTCGTTCCTGGCCATTGGTCTGGGTTTGGAGGAGGCTCAACCGGACATTCTTTTGCGCGCACCCCACGACCTCGGCATTGGTGTTTTCACCTGGGATCTGATCCGTGACAAGATGATCTACGGTTTCTACATGGGCTCCTTATGTCTCGCCGCTTTCACCTCCGTTGCTTACGGCCCTGGTGGCGGAGACCTCGGAAGCATGTGCAACGACGGTTACAACGACACCTGTGGTGTTGTCTTCAGAGCTCGCTCCACCGTCTACGCCACCCTGAGCTTCCTGCTCCTGGTTACCTCTTGGGAAGTCAAGCACTTCCAGCGCAGCTTGTTCAACATGAACCCCGAGTTGTGGACCGGTCCGTTTGCTGTTTTCAAGACTGTTTACAAGAACCGTTTCCTCTTCTGGGCTGTCGCTGGTGGTTTCGTTTTGACTTTCCCCGTCATCTACTTGCCTGTGGTCAACCGTGCTGTTTTCAAGCATGACATGATCACTTGGGAGTGGGGTATTGTTGCCGCTTGCCTGGTCGTGTACATCGCTCTTATTGAGTGCTGGAAGGCCGTGAAGCGCCATCTCGGTCTCGGCATGAACCCTCGCGTTCCTGTCGATCAGGTCTAGTCTGCTATCCTAGAATGACAACGAATTCGCTGCAAAGCGAACGGGAGGAAACGATGAAGTGGTTCAACAAAACGGCGCCTTGGTGTCAGTATGACTTGTGGGGTTCGAGCCGGACATAACTCCGGTGCATGGAAATCAGAATTTGGGGCTATTCAACATCAGCCTGACAGGCTTCACGGCCTAGGGTTTCATTTTCGATTCTTTCAACACTCATTTAAGTAGAAATACGTCGTATCAGTCGGCTGTAGAGTGAATACTCCAGCCATGAGCGGCAATAAAGCGAGCTGAGTTTGATCAGCTCTCACCACCCTTGGCCTTCTCCAGACCAGATGCGTGACCATTGCAGAGTGATGTTGGCTAGAAATGATCCCGTTGTTGTCAGTCTAAAACGTGAACTACCACCGTGTTGCTTGGAAATGTTCTTAGTGCTTGTATCATGCATTTGACGCCCGGCCGACTCCGCGGAGAGGGGCCGAATCCTTCAACATCCTTCAAGGCTTCCGACCCGGTCGCTCCCCGTCCCAGCTTCCTATCCCGGCAACTCACATGACCTACACCACGGGTCAAACCGGGGATTGGGGCAAATGCCGGGTTACCGATCATCACTGCCAGATCACGTCAAGGTTCATCCAATGCGTTGCGAACCCAATTCCAGAAGACTTTAAATAGTATTCGAGGTCGCGGCGACAAGCCTTCTCAACATGTGCCTCCACCACCAAGCGACTTCCTTTGAAGAAGGCAATCCGTTGTCCAAAATGAAAGTCCTCATTCTCGGGCTTCCCAGGACAGGAACCCAATGTAGGCTAGCCAATGGCCATTCCCTCCTCTTTTTGACGATGGACACATACTGACTGATCTCTTTCCAGCCCTCGCCGACGCGCTGATCCAGCTCGGCATCAGCCCCGTCTACCACATGCGCGAAGTCGGGGTCAACAACCACCAGGAGTTGTGGATCCGCGCCATCGAGGACCACATCCCGGCGTTCCTCCCGTCGGAGCAGAAGAAGATCAGCACCATCCCCTGGACCCGCGAGCAGTGGGACACCATCCTCGCGCCCTACGAAGCCGTCTCCGACTTCCCGCCCGCGCTCTTCCCCACGGCGCTGGCGGCGGCGTACCCCGACTGCCCCATCATTCTCTCCACGCGCTCGTTTGAGTCCTGGGCGGCGTCGATGCGCGACACCTTAGTTCATGGGTTCGTCAACCGCGACCGGGAGAAGAGGAGCCCGATGGAGGGGCTGGCGGCGGCGTACCACTCTGCATGCTGGGGGGACGACTTTGAGAGGAACGGGCGGGGGTATTGGGAGCGGCACCACGCGGAGGTGAGGGCGTTGGGGGAGGGTGGGAGGCGGTTCTTGGAGTTTTGTCCGGGGGACGGATGGGGACCGCTTTGTGAGTTTCTGGGGGTCGATGTGCCTGAGGGTGTGCCGTTTCCCAGGAGTGATGATTGGGTTGAGTATAAGAAGAAGGTTGAGCGGGAGAGGAGGGAGGGGAAGGTTGAGTGATGTTGCGTGGTGGATTGGAGTTGAACGTTTGGTTGCAGTAAGAAAAACGCGTATAGATTTTGTTATTTAGCCCCTTATCCCAAGCCGTTTCGGACGCAGAAAAATGCCATCTGAAAATTAACGTATGGAGACTGGTCACCCAATCCGCCCAGAGCCAAGCTGTCGGGTTCATGCATGCCACGCGGGCGAGATCTAAGCCTCTTCAAACTCAGAGGGGCGATGCACCATGCGGCTAACTGCGAAATAGGCTAACAAAAGCACAGCCTATGGGAAATTCTCCGAGCAGATAGGCGTGGCGGCACAGTGGAGTGAGGGTCTTTTTCAGTGTGGAGGGACGGCGCAGGGTCCAGCTACGATTTTCTATACGCGTACAGATGGCCTGCGCTATACGTGTACTCCGTATATGCCCATGGAGACGGTCTGTCACTGGAGATGAATGCGTATGCGTATAAACAACGAAAACAGGAGGGCTTGGCGGGGATTTGATAAAATACCTACCATCCCGCCTGGATGTGTGGTGAGATTTAGTTATTTCAGGATCCAAGTTACTCAGACCATTTCGCTTCACCATCACCGCAACCGCCTGCGGTCCACAGCATCTCTTGCCAACACAGCATTAACATCACCAAACAGACACGAGCGCGGCAGAAACGACTCCATCATGGACAAACTCAGAACATTCTTCGACAAGCCCTTCTTCGACCCGCGCCACAAGACCAAGGTCCACATCCTCCAGCTCGTCATCATGACCACCGCCATCATCCTCACCATCGCGCGCATGGCCATGCCCGTCATCACCACGCGAGCCAATATGATGGCCCTCACCATGGTGCGTGCCAAACCTCATACCGCCGTCTCTGAATGACTGCTGACGCTGGACAACAAAACAGGGCATCAAATCCTTCATCATCATCGGCTACCAGCTCCTCACCGGGCACAAGGAGCGCTTCAAGAAGTGGGCCTCGCTCAAGGCCAACGCGATTCTCAACACGATGGAGATTGTGTTCTGGTTCGTCGCGTTCGGGTTGCTGTTCTCGGCGAACACGACGTTTTGCACGGGGGCGAGTTGTGCGCTGAGTTGGATCGTGACGCTGCTTTGCGCGGTGTTGATGTGAGTTTGCGACTGGCTTCACTTCTTTCTTCCCGTTCTATCCTTTTGATGAGGTTTGCTGATACGTGTATTACGACAGCGTTCTCGCTTTCCAGACGTCGGTCGTGTCCATCAAGGAGTTTCGGTATTTCAAGAATTATCGGGTTACGTACGAGACGAATTATCCAAAGGTTTAGAGAAGGTCGAAGGGAAGATCGGGCGGAGTGTTCCATATCGTATGGATACAGGGACCAATGGTTGGCATGGTTTCCGCTATGGATTATGGCACGTTAAGAAGATAGAAGTCTTGTTGGGACAAGTCGGGACCAAGGCGTTGGGGCGCGTATGGTTCTTTAGATGGGCCTTCGGGATGGGTACGGCCAATTGACGAGAGGAACACCGAATTGATACTTACATACGAATCGACCATTCGCGATTTTCTTCGCGACTTTCTTCCGTGCGTCTTCCTTCATGTCTCACTCACCATCTCGGCCTCCAAAAGGCGACGTGCCCTAGCCACAACACCCGAAGACCTGGGAACTTCATCGACTTCATCGAGTCGTGACATTGGGTCTCGTCTCATTCGACTCGGCGTGGGGGGCGGCAGCAACTTTGTGGTAGGATGACGGCGGACGATGGCGGTGACGATAACGACGAACGATTATAGCGACGACAACTACGAACGGCGACGACGACCGATGTTGACGACTAAAGAAAATAGTAACGACGATGACTGGCTATGAATAACGATTTCGACAACGACCACATCGATAACGACGAAGGATGACAACGACGAATGATGGTAACGACAGACAACGACGACAGAAGACGATGAAGACAAATGTTGGCGACTAACTACAATGAAAAAAAAGGGGACGATGATAGCGAGCACACCAGGAAGCTTACTTGGTCACTCTGTAGGGAATATAGGTAGTCCAGGGTAGTCTACTTCTCTATACCTCCCTCATCCTACTCTATCTAGTTAAGCCTCAGTCTACTCTACTCTAGTTATGATACTCATGCACGGTGCCCACTGTCTCGCCCTCGCCTATGTGGATGACATGCGCCGTGCGGGCTTGGTCCTTCGCCCACTTCTGCAGCTGCGGCGCGAGAACTGCGTAGGCGCGCGACATTGAAGTGAAAGCCCCAGCCGTGTAGCTGGAAAGCTCGCCCCATCTCTTGATAGCTGGTTTCGACCCCTTGCGCATATCCTCCATTGACGTATTCTCGAAGATGAAGCCTGTTGCCTCCAACGCCTTGATCGTGCGCTCCAGGGCCTCCCTCATTTTGCCGCGCGCCAGGGCGCACTTGCCGAGGGACAGATGGCCGTCCCAAGACCCCAAACGCAGAGCTCCCTCACGGCTCGGGTAGCTTTGGTCCAGTTCTCGCACAAGTCTCAGGGCTTTCAGCTCTTGAGCTAGAGACGTCTTGCAACCCCGGAGGGCCTGAAGCATATCCTCCCGAAGAGCCTGACGCTTCATGAAGACTGCCTTTGGCGTCATTTTCTTGTCGAGACACAGCTCACACTCGCAGGTGAAGCCCCATCTCGAGAATCGCTTTTGAGTCGCCTTATAGTCGTCTCCGATGTCGATTGACTGGTAGCCAAAGACCAGCTCTGTGCCAGCGGGCATATCCCGCGACGCGCGGACGATCATGACGTCTCCGATAAAGGAGCGGCAGCAGTTTTCCAAGCAAGAGTGGTTGATATGGGAGGCGATGGTCCAGATGCCGCAGGTAGTGTGTCCGATTTCCACTTTCTTGCCGGGTTGTGGGAGGTTGGCAAGCATCGTGCGCGGGGCGCCGGAGCAGTTCAGGCTGATGGTTCTCTCTACGAGGAACCTGGGAGAGAGTCAGCGAAAGGATCGTAGGTGACGCAGAGAAAGATGCACTCACGTGTCAACCGGGGGATCCTCTCCATCAGCCGGCTTGACGGCGCGGTAACCTCCTCGGTGAAGGTCCATGAAACGCGGCATCAGACATGGGTTGTGGTGCAGCTTCTGTACAACGGAGGACACAAGGTTGGCCTGGCCGCCCATGCTCGATCGATTCGTACTCATGTTCATCAAAACCTTGACATTCTTGCGACTAACGGGGTCATCTTCGTCGGCGTAGCAGTAGGCGAAGGCCTTCTCGCAGAGGAGCAGGTCACCGGCCTTGACGGCCTTGGTGACGAAGAGACCGTTGCCGCGTCCTGGGGAGACACGCACTTCGACGGGCGAGGAGTATGTAGCGCAGTCGATGATCGGCGGGGTTGCTTTGGCTTGCTTGTACATCTGATTCCATGTGTACTCGCCTGTTGCCTCCTCGTGCAGGCGGATCCGGGTCTTCTTGAGTTCATTCTTGGCATCCTTGTTGTCGGCATTGAGGTCGAGGAGCTCAACGAGTCTGCTCTCGGCCAGGCTGAACTGCTGCATTGCGTAATGTGCCTTTGCTTCTCGGAAGAGACCCTTTTCAGTAGGATTGCCGCCATTGCGAGCTCTAAGGGCATCGTCGAGGGCCTTTTCGGGGCGGTCGAGGCGTAAGTTTGCCAGAGAACGGTTCAGGAGGGCTGCTTGCTGCTCTGCGGGGGTTGTGGCGAAGCTGAGTGCATCGGAGTACCTAACAAATGTTAGCTTTGCGAACTCGTTTGACGCCCAGTGATATTGTCAGACTGACAAGCGCTCAGCAGTTCCCCAATCCTGTTCGGCGACCGCCGCGTTGCCTTGTAAGCGAGTCTGCTCCGAATTACCTCCAATGCTCCTGGGAGACCTCCAAGTCTCTGGGACACGCTCATCATTGCTGGGAAGAATGACAATATCCCCGATGTGGTCCACCCGCAGGCTGTACGAGCCGCTCGGGGTGTTCTTGAAGAAAGGCTCCTTGATGAGGCAAACGCTGCCCTGAGGCAAGACGTCGTCGGCCTTGACGAGGCTCTCCTGCGGCTGATTGTACAACTGAAGCAGGACAGCGGTACCCTCTTCGTCTTCTACGATGACCGTGATTGCGCTGGGTCTGTGGGTGACCGTAAGCGTGCGGACAATGACGAGATGACCGCGGTGGTGCTCCTGGAGCTTCATCTTCGAGATCGGCAGCGGCGTGAGGGTGCGGACCGGACGGGTGCAGGGAGGGTACGGCGGAGGCACATGGGTGGTGATCATTCTTTCGATGCCGTCGGGAAGCCCTCTGGAAGATATCGCGGCGTTGAACTGGCCGACCAAGAGGGAGGAAGACAGATGGTCGCGGGGAATCTCGCCCTTGCGACGGTTGGAACGCTCTGCATCGTCGAGGATTGCTCGAAATTGAGCCGCCATCTCCGATGACTCGGAGACATCCTTGATATCCATGGCGAAGTTCGAGGGTGTTGATGAGGCGACGAGGAGTGTCAGCGGAATTTGACGAACAGAGATCAGGGCGAAGGAGAAAAGACGATGGAAATAACGATAGAGACGATTGGAGACAATGGCAGAAGACGGCCACAGCGGACAGTAGCAACAGAGACGACGGCAGCAAGAACGCAGGAAATGGAGCTGCGCAGATACAAGGAGACCAGGCCGTCTCCAGATACCCGCCTGAAGAGTTTTCATACAGGTACCAACGAACAAGCCGCGTGACGACAAATCGAATCGGGTGACTACACAACGTTGGAAACTTCCATGGCCGTCGCTGAGAAAGAGGCCTAACCAAAGAACCAACGAAACAAATCGGCATGCCTCAGCTATTCCAGTTGGTGCTTTGTATACACAAGTTCAAAAAGGGCACTCAGACACGCAGAAGAAATTGAACGGTCTCCTGCATCAACCCAACTGGCATAGCTTCTGTACGCAAGAAAGGCTCATGCTCTCGGTTCAAAGAAGACTTTGATCACAAAGAAATGTTCTCGGTTGAAGTACCTCTAACCCATCAACTTCTGAGTGCTAGCCCCGCGATAACTAGGGACTGATAGTCTGACTCTACCACGTGATGGGATTGTCAATCTTGCTGTCTGCATGGATCCCACACTCCCTAAATCGGTTCATAATGTTCGTAATATCGCAGCCCTCGCCATCAATACACACCTCTCTCAGACGAGGAAAATTGCCCCATTCAATTTGATCCGCCAACCATAACAAGTCCTCAGCGAGTTCCCAACTGAGCCCGGCAAGGTGAAGACGCTCGAGAGAGGCCGGAAGATTTCTGATTGGATATGCCGAATTGTCGAGAGAGTTCATGCTGATCCATAGGCTCCTGAGCTGTGTAAAGTCCTCAAACGAGGAAACTCGCCTGCTGAATGGATCCTGTCCATCGTTCGGGCGGAAGTCCAAAACAAGTGTTTGCAGGGACGACGCACGATTGCGACTGGCGAAGGCGAAGGCGAGGCACGAATCGCCGGGGTGTATTTCAAGGTAGTCATCCTCAATCTCATGCATTGATTTGATGTGGATGAACGTTTCCAACATCTCGCAAGCCTCAATGGTGGATGGTAGATCAGCAAGTTGGACATACACGCCGTGAAGAACCAAAGAACGGATCTGAGTATTCCTGAACGCACCTACATGTACCCAGCCCAGGAGATGATAACGTTGAAGAAACAAGTCGTCAAGTTTCGGAGCGGCGATGAGTAAATTCTTCAGAGCTTCGTGTGATATCCGACTAGGCTCGCTTTCGTCGAGATCGTGGCCTAAACCACGACGGGTGCCTCTGAGAGCAAGCGACTGGAGGACTGGGAAGCGAATGCCTTCTATCAGGCCGCAAAAGTTACCAATGAAGCGGATATGAGGCTCTGAAACTTCCAGAAAGAGCTCCTCCATACATTGTAGGTGCATCAGGAGCAGAATAGAGGCCATAAAGGTGAAGGGGACTGATCCTTTCTTACAAGCCTCATAAATTGTGAACGGTCGCCCGTGAATGAAATTTAGATGCTGGGTGAGGAACCCGAAACGCCTATTGATTGCGATGCCCAAAGAAGCAGCTGTCTGCTCCAAAAACATAATGTCGGCCTCTTGCACCGTCTCGAGGCTGTTTTCGAATTCTTCGATGTGTAGGTGAAAGTCCCTGATGGATTTGCGGATGACGTCGTTCCATCGAACGAGCCTCAAGAGCGAAATCATTTTCGACGCCGCTGCCTCTCCAGTGATGCTGACGGACATGTAGGACTCTCTAAATAAGAGCTCGCGAAACTCTTTGTTGACTAGAGAGAGGTTCATGACAGCTCTCTGCACCTGATGAAGGATGTGGTCAATCTCTTCATCAGTGGTGTTTGTGTGGAGCACGTGCCTGGTAGAGCGCTCGGATCGAAGGATAGAGCAGATGATGAGAATAACTTCCTTTGGTAGGTCGACTAGTTGCGCCATATTGAAAAAGCCAGGCGGGGTGGCAAAAGAAGGTTAGGTGATGTAGAGCAAGCCTGCTGTTGTGTTGGTATGGAGCTTCTGCCTGTGAGAAGGAAATATCTAGAGAAAGGAGTGTACGAGCTGTGGCCACAATGAATCGAGATGGTTTGTAAATGGCAGGCCAGGTTATTTCTTATTGCAAGGGTGGCAAAAGAAAAAGCATATGACAGCTGGGTTAGATTATCTTGAATGGCGGGGTAGGTTTCCACGCGTATGCGAATCATAAGTCTGGAACATGCAATCCAGTGTCAATAAGCTTCAATCTTCTCAGAAGATCAGACAAATGTGGAGGACGCCGCCCAGTCTACAGTTGGTAACCTTATTCTTTCACTCTTGTTTGAAAACCTAATGTATTAGAGGAGGAAATATTCATCGCCATGTCGAGTCGAAGGCAGAAAGACCGAAAGGCAAATCGCCCTCAAGGCATGGATAGCGAAGACATCCACCTAAGCATATTCCTCTCGGCAAATCTATAGCGAGTGGCCCGCTTCTTGAAGGAACTTACAGTATAGCACTCGAGTAAAACTGGCCCATGGGCCACTTATTATTACAATGAACAAGACTTGTGACTTGGTTTATTTTCACTCAGAAAATGAACAATGCTTTACTTTTTATAGGTTTAATATTGACAGCTATCTACACCAATCGTAAATACAAAGGTTTAATGTACATGTAGAAGTATAAGACACTCATTTGACCAAAGCCAACTCCGTCCTCACCGCCAGACAGCTCAACTCCTCGAATGCAAGCGACTACTGGTGCTTAAGCGGGGTAGACGCGAATAGGGGTCTCAATGGGCTCAGGGGGAGTGAGACCAATGGTGACCTCGTAGCCCTTAGGGGGGTGGAAGGCATCAGGGAGCTCGATGATGTTCCTGTAGTAGTCGGGAAGGCGGGATCCGTACCAGAGCTTGGCAATGGCAGGGAGGATGGAACGGTAGCCACCACCGAGAATGTCCAGGTTGGGAGCGACGTACAAGTGGGAGGTGTTGGAGTCGCTGCTGAAGACACCGCCATAGCTCTGGTTCCAGTAGTAGTTCTCAAAGATATCGCCGGCGATCTTGGTGCTCCACTCGCGGATCTTGTCACCGGTCTTGGAGCCGACAAAGTTCCAAACGTTGGCACCGACGTCCCAGCGGCCGAGGGTGTGGAGATCCCAGTTGGCCTGGACGGAAGAAAGCTCAGAGTAGTGGTTGTAGAAGGCGTTGTCCTTGGTGCCGACGAGCTCCTTGGGAACGGCGGAGCCGAGGAGGATACCGGCGACGTGGTTGCGTTCGAGAGGGTACTGGCCGTTGGCCTGCCAGGTGATGTAGACAAGGGTGCGGCCATCGTTGAACTTGGGGTCCTGGAGGAGGGGCTCGACGAAGCTGCGGGTCCAGTTGCAAGAGACGGAGATGTTGGTGTCGTGGCCGTTGTTGTACAGGTTGGGGGTGACGAACAGCCACTGGGGAAGGCGGTCGTTCTCGAGGTCCTCGTAGAAGAGAGTCAGGTTCTTGATCTTGGCCAGGCGATCGGGGTTGAGCGTAACGGAGTCGAAGCGGACGAGGAGGTTGTGCTTGCGAGCGTAGTCACCCTCCTCCTCATTGTCGTACTCGAAGCCCTCAAAGCCGGTGTAGGGGAGACCCTCGTTGTAGTCACCCCAGCTGATGCCCTTGTCCTCGAGGAGGTCGACAATCGTGGAGACGTTCTTGTCAACCAAGAGGAAAGAATCGCTGTTGGTGCCGAAGTCGTCACCGCTGGCGGGGGCAACGTAGTTAGGCTGAGAAGGAGTGCCAATGCCGTACATCTCAGTGAGAAGGATACCCTGGTTGATGAGAGCCTGGCAGTTGGGGTCGGCGATGGAGTTGTTGTAGGCGGTGGTCTCGAGGTAGACCTGCATGATGCGGTCGAAGACCTTGCCCTTGACGTGAGAGGTAGGAGACTCGGTCTTGGCAGTAGCGGCGGCGGCAGCCACATCGGCGCTGGCAGTCGAGGTGTACTGGATGTCGGCCGCAGTGTTGACGGCAGTGGAAGAGACACTGGCAGAGATAGTCGGAGTAGGGTGTCCGTGACCACCGTTGCCGTTGCCGTTGCCATTTCCGTGGCCATTGCCGTTGCCATGGCCATTGCCCCAGTCGCCGCCATTGTTGTTGCCCTTGCCGTGGCCGTAGTCGTTGTCTTTGCCATTGCCTTTGCCATGGTCCTTGTTGTCCCAGTCATTGCTTTTGCCGGCATCACAAGCAGGAGCAGCCGCGGCGATGCTCGCGGCGGCGAGAAGCGCAAGGAAGCGAACCATCTTGGATTCTTTGCTGTAGCTCTGTTGTCAAAGAGTGTTGTTCTGAAGAGAATGAGAATGGAATATCAGAGAGTGAGAGTCCTCAAGAGAGAGAAGAGAGTGAGAGATGTGGATGCGGATGAGGAAAGAAAAACTTGACTGGAATCGCGAACATGATCTCTGGTTATATAGCCTCTTCCATACTTCATTTTCGATGTTGTCTCTCTGGAAGGGGGAGAAATTCGCTGCTAACTGCGATGGGTCCTTGCCCTCGCAACTTGCCTGTGCTTGCCTGAGCATGTTGCGAGGTCTGAGAACGAGAGGCTTGCCAGTCCCGCCTGGAAAAGCTCGTTGTTGATGTTGGATCCGAGCTCAATGAAGACTCAGCACAACCCCGAGTAGCATAGGAAATAATTTCCCGTTTCCGTGTTCAAGAGTGACATCCAGATGCATACACTCCGTTGCGTTGACAGCGTCCGCCCCCAAGTTTGACCCGGAAGGAAAATTTTCCGCTAGCTTAGAAACCCCTTAAAACCCCCTAAACTTCACGTTTTAATAACTCTATGCGTACGTAATGCGCGTAAATAAAAAATATATCAATCGATAGCCCTCGATTAGGTGATTATAATGATATCTTTTTTATTCTCGCGTATTACGTACGCATAGAGTTATCTAAGTGTGAAGTTTAGGGGGTTTTAAGGGGGTTTCTAGGTTAGCGGACACTTAACGCAACGCTAAAAAGAAAAAACGAAACCCCCGGCGCGTTGCGTTGAACTGTCCGCTTAAAAAACCCCTCAAAATTAGCTTTAACTTCACACTTAGATAACTCTATGCGTACGTAATGCGCGAGAATAAAAAAGATATTATTATAATTACCTAATCGAGGGCTATCGATTGATATATTTTTTATTTACGCGCATTGCGTACGCATAGAGGTATTAGTAGACGAAGTTTAGGGCGATTTGGTGGTTTTTCGGTAAAAAGCCCCTTTTTTTGCCTTTTTCGGGCTAAAAACTGCGGGGTGGACGCTGTCAACGCAACGGAGTGTAGGGCTGAGAGCTTACAGCTGGGCCGGACCCGCAAGGACCCTGAAAATAGGACCCTTGGACAGAAATGTTTGCAAGCCTGTCTGAGTCCTTCTCAACCGTTCCTACCGTTGCTAGATGATCGCAAGGGCGCTGCTGCTCGAATATTAGGTCGTTCGTCTGAACGCAGAGCGGAAGCCACGAAGCTTAATTCCCTTCAGACGATGCTAATTGAGCACTATTTTGCGGGTTGTGTGGTCTGGGCTCTCGGTGTGGCTTGTTGGTTAAACCGACTTAGTCTTAGGAGGGAATCCCAAGACCCGGGGAAGCTGATCCTGCACAGAACAATCAGCAGCCATAGCTCCAACTGTTCGCCTGATGAATCCGTGTTCGGGCAGTCAATGGCACGTTACGAAAGCCGGATAGATCGGGGTTGAACCGGCGCTATGGTCAACGAATCTTGGCATGGGAGCTATTTTCTGACTGTTGTAAATGTTGACGAGGGAGAGAAAACACAGTTAGCCTACGAAACTAGCCGCGTCGAGTAATGTTGAGCTTGAAGTTTTCACGTTTGGTGAAAGTGAGTCCCGGCGAGCCAGGGCCATCACGAATACTACTTCAGAGCAGACGAGCAACATCTCAGATCGTCGAGTTGGGAAAGTATTGATGCATAATACACAGTCAATACAAAAGAACGCGAGTGTGGGGCGATGACCCGGCGACGATCAACCCTTGGACTCTCGGGTGCCCGATGCTAGCGTGGACTAGCTTGCTGGCACTGGGATCCGAAGGCTTGCATATTGTAAAACAATGGGCTACCGGCGGTTAGACAACCTGGAGGAGAGGCTTTATCTTAACTCCTGCAATTGAACAACGACTGCCATGCAAACCGGTTGGCATGGTAGCTGTCTTCTTCCCGGACTGATCTCGGTCCCTTCAACCCCAAGGTATTATTGGAAACAAACATTGTATGCAGCGAAGCACATGAGGATCGTAACCGGTGAGTTAAACTGAAAATGATTAACATATTCTGACCAGTATCCGAGCAATTGAAATATGGTTGCCTCTGCGGCACTTTGATGAAGATCACACTGTTCATTCTGACCTCAAACCCCACGAGAGAACGCATCAACAGTTACATGTACAGGATGTTGTGTAAGGCTTGGTCGCCGCTGCGTCCTGGGGAATGAATGTAGCAACAGACACGTTTTTATCAAAACCTACCGCTTCCAAACGGTGTACGATTTCATCACACCATTCTGCCAGTCTTGGAGGACGTACGACGACCAATCCACGCTTTGGCAAGTTGGCTCCCAAGTCTTAGCACTGCCAGGACAGTTGTACTCGCTATAGCCTTTGAGTCAGCTTTGTTTTACCGGAATTACCAGTGAGATAATGCGGAAGAATAGAACTTACTTGTAAAATCTAACGCATGTGTTTCCCTTCAAGATGACCCAATTTGCCTTTTGAGCCCAGCCATCAGGACCGCTTTGCATGTTCACTTGAGCATACAACTGTTAGTGTAATTGCTGGAAGGGATTTGGTGCCAGAGTTGTACTAACCGCAACTACCAGCTGCAGGGCAGACCTCATGCTCTTCATAGGGCTCGCCGAAAGTGCTCCGCATGAATGTTAGACTGACCTGATCAGTGCTGCAGACTGCAGAGACCAATGGGGCGAAAAGAGCGAGACTCAAGAACTTCATTGTAACAATGCGTCTGTATTGGAAGAGGTCGAAGGCGAAGTGAATGAAGCTGAAAGAATCTGCAAGCTTGACATGAACTCATTCATCAGCTTTTCAGTTTGACCTCAAATCAGGTCCATTTTATAGTTTCTTACGGCCCCCAAAATCTCATATGTCTCCCTTCCAGGCAGTTGCATCGCTAATTTCTGACCTCGTAGGATGCTGCAACTTTGGCTCAAGTGCGACTCAGCCAATGAGAGTAGTCTTGGCCCCAGAACCACCTTCCTAATCTCATACACAAACGGCGATGGAGACCTTGTTATCCAATAGCTTCTGACCAAGCTGGCGCACTGGAAGAAAACGTGCGAGAACTCGTATTGAAACCCACATAGGTATGGCCCGATGTGCTCATGATAGCTATTGAGCAGGGAGACATAGGAGCTGAGCAACAGCCAAGCATGTAGGATCGCGGCCTTTGCCGATGCAAAGCTACCGCCCGTCTTGGCGCTCGGGGCATTAATTAACTGCCTGAAAGCCTTCCGTTGTTTCTATGCAGTGATGAATGCTGCGCATGGCAGCGCTTTGGGCCGTCGGGCCCTGGTTGGTTCCGAAAATTCGTGCCGTTCAAGTGCTTCCGAATGGTAATGGGTCTCTGTTACTTCTAGAGAAAAGTCTAGGCTTTATGCAGACTCTGTCGTACCCTTCCTCGCCTCCTCGGCCCATGCCTTACTTTCTCTCCTCAGTTCCCTCATCACATACCAAAACGTAGCACCTGTCCATATTCCAGCCCACACGAACGGCAGCGACCAGCCGATGGTGTAAGCAACATCGCCGTCCAGAGTGAAAATCAACACTGTGCAAAGCACGGCGCAAGCTTCTGCCCCGACGGCCCAGAACACACCCAACCGTCTCAGCATTGCTCTGAATACATGGCTTGCTTCATATCTCCTGTCCAACGCGACTCTGAATTCCGTTCCACCGGATCCGTCGACGGCACAGATGTCTTCGATGAGACTGTAGATCCCAGGCCGTAGTTGCGCGCCTTTGGGTATAGACGAGATGCGGCAGGGTGCGGGGACGTGGAAATAGCGCATAGTGTCGACTAACAAGAGTTCGGTGCCGAAAACGAAGAGCATCGTCGTGACTGGCATAGAGAGCAGGCGGATTGGTGGGTGTTCTGGGACGGTGCCCCTGTGTCCACTATCAGAATCCATCCACTAACATAAGCGGTACTACGTAGTTACCGGAGGACTTACACGATCAGTTCAATCATGATTATGATCCAAGCAAATGAAAAGTTCCAGTGGAACCAGTCCAGGTACCAGCGATGCGCCCCGATGACTCTACACGTGCTCCCCTTCCTCCATAACCGCCAGAATCTGAGGAAGTACTCCACGATACTGGCTCCTCCAACTGCGGCAGTGACAATTGAAAAGACCGCGTTTGGGGTAAGCTTCTCTTTCTTTTCGGTGGCCGTGTTTGTTCCCGGCCCGACGCCGTACCACAGACCAAAGTATAGAGCTATCGGCATCGCGATGGAGTCGAAGAGGATCAAGGTCCAAAAGAGGAATATCGCGAGTTTACGGGTACGCAGAGTGTAGTTAAGCGGGGGAGGGGTCGGCTGGAACGTGGGTCTCGACGGTCCTCCCTCATCCGCAGGAGAGGCCGGTTGGGCTGTGTGCGTCGTAGACGGCCGCGGAGACCGGATAGATACACCCGAAGGTCGGGGGGATCGGGTCGGCGACAGGGAGGATCGCCGGGTCATCGCTAAGGAGGGACGGCCAAAGGGACCATCGTAACGGCGATCGAAGTCATGGCTTGGCCTTGTCTTGCGATGCGTCGGCGAAATAGGAGCTGAATGAATTGGCGAGTTGGTCGTGTTGAAGTTATGCAGGCTTCTCGCCTTCTTCTCGTCAAGGACTAGATCCGGCTTGTTGACGTCCTTGCTCGAGTCTGCTCCGACTGTCCTCTTCTCGTTGTCGGATGGAGGTGACATGGCGACACGATGACCTTGGGTTATCTGCAAGCTGTGCCGACCGAGCATCGTGGGATCTCGCCTGGAGGCATCATCGCTGGTAACCGGATGCGGATGGGCCGGATTTGTGGCCCCATCGTGTTCCGGACTACGCTTCTCATCCATGATTGAACATTGGCTGGTGTGTACTTCGAAGTCTTGGGATACGCAAATGTTCGCTTGAACAAATGCAAAAAATGAAAAGAAACATTAAAACATTACCTAGACACAGGGCAATCGGGGTTCTATTAGTTAGTGATCGCGTGGTGCATGAGAACGGCGAAAGACATCCCGTCGCCAAGACGCAAACGAGAAGACGATCATGATCACCTAAAGCTCCAAACGGCAGGTAAAGGGTACAAATGATGGCGCCGGACGATCAGTTGGGAGGAGGTCCCTGAAGAAAGGTCGAAGGCTCTAGAGCATCATTGTGGGACAAGGGTCACAGGAGCAGAGGCTCCGTCGGGGGGAATGATGTCAGAATGAAGACCGTGGCGAAACCGAGATGGCCTCCCCTGTCTCTGGTGGTGTTCATCTGCCAATTAAGAATGCGGAGGTTGCCGGTTACGTGGACATTCAATCAATGATGCCTCTCGGTTGCATCTAAAGAAAGCATGATGTTCGGGAGTCTCGTGATGATGCTGGGGGCTTTCTATCATGATTGCTCTGGATGCGCCGGAGTGAAGAAGATACTGAAGGGAACATCCTGAATCGACACAGAGATTAACAGCGGAAGATGAGATAAGCTCTGGCCAAGGGCGCTGCCAAGCGACTGCTGTGGCGTCACCCACTGAAACTGTTCCTGCAGTGCCCTGAATTTCGTCGAATGTCGCTGAACTCTGCCCGCTTAGTAAGTTCATTCTCCCTTGTGAGTGATAGAGAACAGGCGGTGTTGATTGGCGAAGATCACTGTGCCGGGGTTCACCTCCGAACCCCTCCACTGAAGGATCCGACGATGCATGCCCGACCCCTCATCCCGGCCTCATGAGGCACGGTCGATACAATGACCATGATATTGCTGAGTTAAAAAGGCATCTACTAGATTTACCGAGGCTTCGTTTGCGACAATGCGCTTGATCAACACTCAAACGTTGGAGCTAGAAGATTTCGCCAGCAATGATCTTGTTCCTCCCTACGCCATTCTGTCCCATACGTGGGGTGACGGTGAGGTGACCTTTCACGATTGGCAGGATGATGAAAAAAGAGCCAAAAAGAAGGGCTTCTACAAAATTCAGTCAACATGCAGACAGGCTGTCCAGGACGGCTACTCACATGCATGGGTTGACACCAATTGCATTGACAAGAGCAGTTCCGCAGAGCTATCGGAAGCTATCAACTCCATGTTCGCCTGGTATGAGAACGCCGCCGTTTGTTATGTCTACATGCCCGATGTTATACAATTACCAACCAAGGGATACGGCACCCATTTTCAAGAGAGCAGATGGTTCACGCGGGGCTGGACCCTGCAAGAGCTCATCGCTCCTCGAAACATCGTGTTTTACGGCCGCGACTGGGAGATGCTGGGGACAAAGGCCGGGCTCGTCACAACCATAACGAAACGGATCACCAAAATTCCCAGAGAGTGTTTGCTGAACGAGCAGCCTCTCTCCAGCTTCAGCACAGCACAGATAATGTCATGGGCCTCTTCACGCGTTACGACCCGCCCAGAAGACCAGGCGTATTGCCTTTTGGGGTTGTTTGGTGTCAACATGCCGCTTCTCTATGGTGAAGGCTGCAAGGCGTTCGTGAGACTGCAGGAGGAAATCATCAAGATATCCGACGACCAGAGCATATTCGCCTGCGATATGGAAGCTCTAGCTATGAGTGCCTCCATGGCGACTTCCCCACGCCTTTTTTCTCGCTCATCAGAGGTGGAAAGACGAGCGCCTGCCGCTTCTCATACGACAACTCTTCCCCCATTCTACTCCATGACGAATTCGGGCCTCTCTATTTCTCTCCCCCTCGTAGAGACTTTGTCGCCTCATTTTGTTCTCGGAAAGATCAGCTGCATGCTCTCCGGAGACGGCGGCGGACCTATTATGCTGCCGTTGTCTTCACATGTCAGCGACTACCGACATCAATATACACGCGTGTCTGTTCCATCGGCATGGATCACATTGTTTTGCGATTCGATAAAGAAACTGCTTCCTTTGTATGAGGAAAGTTCCGAGTTCCCCGAGAATTGGGCCGTCGACTTCGACCCGGAAGAGACGACCACCATCATGATCACAATGCCCAAACCAGCCGAACAAATCTATCTTCAGAGAAGAGTCTTTAGTCCTTTGAGGAGAATGGGAGCTAAGGTGTTTTTTCTCATCGTCTTCCCGCGAGGACTATCGCGATATCGTCTTTACGCTGCCGACCCGCCAGAGGCTCTCGAGGAGCGTACAAGCATGATGGCTATGGTGGGCAAGAGTGACGCCGATGAAGTCGGTAGAGGTCTTCTCATTTTCAAGAAAAAAGCCTCCGGTCGAGAAAGCGGGAAATACGTGGCAGTTTATCTCGAGACAGGGCTGGACGAGGACCTTCCGTTAGAAGAGCGATTTTACGGGTGGCGCCGCAGATGTCGAGTATTTCCGGACTGGAATGTCAATCATACTCTGAAGGACGTCAAACCTTTCAGCGACGAGTTCCTCGGTGAAAGGGGGAGGGCGAGCTGGGTTGGCGACTTCCTAGTGACGGCGAGGACTATGCTTCCGGTCGATTCTCCGCATATACCAGGGACTTCCACCGTCTTAGTAGCGGAAATCATCTTTGATATGAATCGATTCCGGGACATGAGAGGGCGTAAAGGATCAATCAGCGAAACCAACGACTCACAACATTACAGTATGATGCTGCGTGACTCGGAAGGATCAGACGTTGAGCTGTAGGGAAGAGATGGAGCGGTAGAAGTGTTTTAAGCCCGAGTCGACGCACGACTTCAAATTTCGCCTCCCTTTTTCATCTCCATCACAGCCTGTTAATCCGTTATGTTTTTGATTATCAGGAGGTTTGAGAAGGGAAGCAACCATCACGCTTGTCGTCCTTCTAGAGGCCGCCTTAATGTTTCCGGTCGTGTGACCGATCAATCATGTTAGTCACTAAATTACTTACAACACACTCAATCACGCGATCTCACACTTGATGAAAAACGCTGGATAGGTTCAAATGCCTCTTATACTCATACAGGCTGCAGCACAGCTGCTCCGGCAGCTCAGCTGACTTGCCATCAACTACCTATGATCGAAAACAAAATACGCTAACACTGGACGTTCTCATATAGTCGTCTGACCGCTGACAATGAAAATTCTCAACTACCTCCCCTAGCCCGCACGTCTCGCTTACTGGGGCATAACCTCAGTCTTGAAGTCGGCGTTGTTGGTAGCAGCCTCGTTGCCAGCAGCGGGCGCGGCAGGAGCAGCAGGAGCAGCGGGAGCAGCAGCGCCACCGGCACCACCCTGCTGGGCACCACCGGCAGACAGAGCCTGGATACCACCGTCAAGGGATTGGTTGATTTGGTCAACGGACTGCTGGGCGATGCTCTGTCCGATGGCGGGGACCTTGGAGACAACGGCGGTGCTGAAGTCACCGGCGACAGCCTTCTGCTGCTTGAGCTGGTCAACGGCGACGGAGGTGGCACCGAGCTTGTCAAGCTCGGGCTTCTTGTTGGTCAGATCGGTGACGGCGGTCTGGACGGCGGTGGTCAGGCCGCCAGCGGACTGCTGAAGAGTGAGGGCATCGGTGAGGGAGAGCTCCTGGGCGCCCTGAATTTGTTGGGTGCCCTGCTTCAAGCTGGTCTGGACCTTGTTGGAGGCATCGAGGAGGTTGGCGGCAGAGTTGGGGTCAGAGGCGGAGAGGGCCTAGAAAGTGTTAGTCTGGATGAATAGAACAGATGATGATGATGCATACCTTGACAGCGGTGTCGAGGTTGCCAAGGGAGTCCTGGACACTGGTAAGAGCACCCTGGATGGTCTGGAGTTGACGCTTGCTGACGAGGGAAGCGGGAGCAGCGATGGCAGTGCCGGCAATCAGAGCCTGGACGAAGACGTTGGTGAAATGCATTGTGATTTATGTGTTGTGTTGTTAAGCGAAGGCTTTTTGAGTATTGTCGAAGTGAATGCTTTGGTATCTAGAAGATGCTTTGGAAGGTAAGAAGCTGTAGATGCTGATGAGATGGGAGGAAGAAAAACTGATTAAGACCAGAACTTCATGTCCTTATTATACGACTTCTTCGACTGTGCCGCGAACGCCGCGAATGTGTCTCCTTCCCGCGGCCTACATGATTTGACGCAGCTCCCTTCATCCGAGCTGCTTCCAATACCTCACGACGGTAAGAGACACCAGACACCGTACGATTCGACACACACACACGTGCAGTGTGGCTGCGGCGCAAAACCGTGTACCTCGAACAGTCAGAGTCACCATCGCGGGAGCAAAATGTCAGAATCGTCGCCTCAAGCTACTGCAACTCGACGCCTCCCGGGTTCGTGTTCCGGCTTGGGAGGTTGTGTGTGGTTCTGCGGCCGAGAACCGGTGCCCTTCTCCCTTGAAACGCGTGCCGTGCGGTGCGCGGCTCGGTCATTGACCATGGGAATCATGGCTTGGCGGCCATCAGACGAAACAAAACAGCAAGCCACGGACCCTGAATGGGAAACGTCAAATTTCTCTCAACATGATGAACCAAACTTCTCAATAAGCTTTGTGGTCTGGGGCAGAGCCGCCTGGCCCCTACTTTTCCCAGAAGGGTTATCCCTTCTATTTTTGGGGGTCATAAGCTTTCTTGGTGTTCATTCAGTGCGGCGTGTGCGTTCATGATGAACCGCGATCTCAAAAACCGAAGCTGGTGCCGCAACATCTGCATTTCGGATGGCACCAATCTGTCAAAATACTGGCTTCTACTATTTGTAAACCGCCCGCGGGAGGTTAGTCCCGAGACGTTGCCGGGACAGGTTGGGGAAGCTTGACACCTGCTAGGATGTTGATGCGGGTGCAACCAACATCCAGATATTTGTGTTGCATGTTGATGCCTGCTCCTCACGATCCGATAGCCTCCCAACGCCACCCAGATGACCTGCGTATAGACAGATCGACAGACTTTACCAACCAGTTCGTCAGTCTTTTGGCCTGGTTCGTGGCGCAGATGCGTTGACTTCTCTCCTGCAGGAACCCCCAAAGCTGGTGCGGGAACGCTAAATACCGAGCTACTACTCGGGGTGTTCCGTCCGTACATGCGCCTTGCTGCCCCTAGCTCCTAAGAGGGCAGCTCGAACATACTTCTCACAAACGCAGGTTCATTTTTTCTTGTCGATGGCGGGAGGGCGCTAGTGCGGCAGTCAGTGTCATTGCGCGTGCGCACGTCGAGAGAGATGGGTGCACATGAGAGGGGGGAAGACAACTCGATGAGCACCTCGGTTATTGTCTTTCCATGCAAACAGCCGCGCAGACCAGCTGCCAATCATCTGTCACAGTCTGCATCTGACCTATCCGAGTGCGGTGGATGGTCCATCTCGTTGACAAATGTCGTGTCAAACGTCAGGTCTCGCCTCTGGCGGCCGGGGTCCGTGCCTGAGCGCGGCTAAGGTCTTGTCACCAATCTGATGCCAGGACGGGGGTGGCTGAAGGTGAGGGTGAGAGGGGAGAAAGGTTAAGCTTGTACCGATGGCTGCATGAATGACTGAATCTGTCATCATCGTAAAGGGTGGCCAGGCCAGCGGATGGCTCCAGTCAGTTCGTCGGATGGATGGCGTTTGCTTGGCTTGAAGGGTGTCAGAGTCCAGTGCAAGGGCACCTGGTGGCCAGCTCGGTAATGCCAATCCGATTGGTGAAACGTGACACACTTCACTCGATGTCTGGCTTGTCGATGCTCACCTCAGTCAAGTATGCGTGTCTTCACGAGCCTAGAAGTGGTTCGCCCGCCACGGTCGGCCGAGGTGTTGGAAGTCCGAGTGACTCGTGTACTCGGACTCGCATTTGTCACGTCTTGTTCATACTGCTCAGGGGTCCCTTCGCTCTGATTTGAGAAGTGCTAGAGTTTGTTAGACCTTCTGGTCTGATGTTATTGGAAGTGTGGTGGTCGGGAACCGTCACGTCCAGACTTTAGGGCGGGGAAGGTTACTGCGCCAGAGGGTAGCTTTGAGGGTATTTTACGGTCTGGAAGACGAGATGATGATTTCCTTTTGTTCAGAACCCTGCCGGAACTTTCTCGATATGGAAATTTGCGGCATTCAATTTCAGATATGACCTGATATTGGGTGAAACAGACCTTTCAAGAAAGACTCCTCAAAATTTCGCGACTCCTTACATGCGGGTATATAAGGACATTTTCCGAATTGGGCGATTAAATCATTCAGAGAATGTGCAGGTCAAGAAATTGACAGGCGCCGTCCTCTTGCGAGATGGTTCAGATTGTACTCATGTTAAACAGGTTCGATTGGGCGTCGTGGACTATACTACATGTATCTCGTCATTGACACAGCTTCTGGCACCTACGAACAGACCTCAGCCGAGGATATATGCGACCCACGAGCGCGATTTTCTGTATGGTTCAGGGTTCAGAGACCGTGGCATAAACTTCAGCTTTGGATGTCGTACCTTACTTTACCTCCCACTAGCTCCAAAATGCAATGCGGCCACCAGAGCTTGAAGCTACTTAGAAGTGAGTTCATCTGGTCGTGACGAGCACTTCGTCAAGTGTTTAGTTCTCTCGAAATTAGGAGTGTTGGACGCTATTCCTCCTTGGGACTCGTATTCAGTCTGTACTGAATGAAGTTTTCAGTGTAATTAATGAAGGGAATGAATGCTACATAAATAATGCCTACTAGGTATGTACATCAAGCACAAACATTGAACAAAAAAACGAAAGTAAAAGAGGATAAAGAATAGAACCCGACGAATACTTAAATCGCAGCAAAGGAGACGCAGAAAGAAAACCCCTGTCTCGTATATTCATACACGGCCGGAACGTTCGGGATGCCTCATACAAATTGGACGCTCGCGTTTTGGCTCCCAAGCTTCTCGCCATTCATGTATACCGCAATGTCCAATGATGCTCCCGATGGAATCATTTCAATCTCATAGGTTAGCTTCTTAACCACAATGCCACTTGCAGTCTTGAAATCTGGCAGTTCTGAGAATTTTGCTTCAACCTTCATCTGGAAATTGCTCTGGGAGTTTACCCGAAAGTCTTTCCGTTCAGGTGGTTCGTTTTCTTCGCATGTCCACAGCGTGACGTTGAGCTTTCCGTCAAAATCGCCCATCCTTCTGTACAACTCGTAATACTTTTCTCGGACTGGGTCTTTCTTGGAGACAACGTCCCCCTATCAGTCGTCGGATATTGGTTAGACTCAGTACCTTGAAAAGAACTGGAATGGCTTTCACTAACCCTTTGCAAATACCATTTCATTTGATTTGTGGCCATCCACTTCTTTTCTAGGTCATCCCACATCCTGTCTTCGCGGCGATGCTTCATCGGGTCATACACGATTGAGTATTTGATCCCGTAGCTTGAACGAGATACCGTGGAAGTAACCTTGATGGGCGTCTCGATCTTTGCTAACGCCTTTTCGTCAAAGGTAGCATGGCCTTCTAGGAAGCCTTTGTAGACTGCACCGCGACAAATTGCAGTTTTGCTGAAATTATTTTTATCGAGTAAGTTTCTCAATGCAATACCTTCAGTGGAGTAACGGTATCAGCTTACGGTTTCGTTCCGCCAGATTGTAGAATAGAGGTAGTCGGCCCGGAATATTTCGCTTTGAGATGTTCGTACAAGTACGGGCTTGAACCAAGTCCCCCAACCAGAATGATGCCCTGTTCAATTAGTCATGGATGCTAGCGCAGGGCGCTTCAGATTATTTCACTCACTGTCACCTTCAATCCTTGCCGGCGAGCCATACTGAGTTGATTATCGACAAGTTCGTCGATTCCTTTGAAAGAGTCTGCAAATGTTTTCTTAATGTGGGACCTGTGTCAATCAGCTGTGAGTTGTGTTGCTCCAGGCAAGTCAAGTGCATATTCGCTTGGAGTCGTGGAACTTACTCTTGGAAATGAATCCTCCCGTTCCTGATCAGCGGCTGCTTGGATAAGTCGGTAAGACTAGACGTAGAACCTTTGAAAGCCTCAGCCGGAATACCAATGGGGTACTCCTTGTGCTGATCGCCGGGATTGAATTGAGACTTAATTCCCACTTCCCATTTCTGCATGATCTCCTTGATACCGTGGGGGCTAAGATGAGACCACTGTCTCACAATGCGATCTCTACAGGCCGTCTCGAAAGCCTCGTCGATGAATATACCACCACATAAACGACCTGTAACAAGCTACTGTCAATGTTTAATCGCCTGCCAGATAAGCCGCATGACTTACCAGTACCCTCAACAGCCTCTTCGATGGCAAGAGGCTTGCTGTTAGTCACCTCGTAACTAATCAAATCCTTTAAGATGTTAGTTCGCCTTTCGGTCTCTAGCCACAGTAATGCAACATTGCCGATGGAGCGTGAAAGCAATCGAGAATATACGTACTACCGTTCCGCCGCCTGCATCGCAGATGATGAAGACTTCGTCTTTCTTTGGGTTTCTACCGGGCTCAGACAGCGTTGAGAGAGCTGCTGCCTCAGGCTCAGGGGCGAACGTAAGGATGGTCTGTCCAGCTGAACGAAAGTCCATGATACCAGCTAACCTCGCAGCCTCTCCCATGCCTTGCCTAGCGTAGTCTTTCCAGATTGCGGGGACCGTGATGACAACATGGAAGCGCAAGGCGTCCACAACTGACTCCCCGCGGGCTTTCTGGATGGTGTGGAGAGTGTGTTGAAACAAAGCTCGAAGATAGTCGGCGATGAGGTCGACTGCTCTCTTGCGAGTCTGGCGAAGGTATTTGCGCGCGCGAATCAGAGACTCTGACTCACGCAACTCTGCGCTCAGATCTTCGTCTTTCACCAAGAGAAGCTTGAACCAGCGAACCGGTTCTACTTCTAAGGGGATATCGTACCCCCACATGACTTTACCATTCTCGTAATGGAGCTCTGTAGGCACCTTGCCCTCTTCTTGGTCGCTGTATGGCCAGCTAACCAATTTGATTGCATCGCCGGCAAAGTCTGCCACGGTTGCCCACGCGACTCCGGAGCATCTGCTACGTGTCAATACTCGTACAACATTCGGGCACTCATGGCCACGGAATAATCCATTGCTCTCACGTAGTGCCGAAATCAATTCCAATGACAAGGATATCCTCGGCAGTGTCTCCCACTTGATTCTTGTAGCCACCACCCCCGTTGTTGTTGTCGTTGTTGTTCAGAGTCGTAGAGCTGCTAATGTTGCTGTCGCTATGACTTTTGGCCAGGTCCGCCCTGGAACGATTGGGGAGGGGACTCTCGTAAATTGCGTAGTCCGTTTTTGCCATCGTGAGGTCGCCTCCCAATCAGGGTAGGAATACAGAAACAATCACCGAATTGAATGGTAGGGAACAAATAGGCTATCAAAGCCAGAGTTGGCTGGACGGTCGAATCAACAACCCGTCAAGGCAACGCGGAGGCATTTGACGGTATTTGTATCTGGAGTGGCCCGCGGATTGCAGTGGAAGGCCGCAGCCTTATCATCGATGCTGGGCCGCGGCCCATCTCCGGCAAGGGAAGCCTCGCAGCGACGCGAAGCAATATGTGGAGGTGGTCACCTCGCTGAAAAGCAAAATCATCAATACCCGAGAACAGTCTAATTTCTAGGAGAAAGCGCACTGTATGATTAAAGTAGTGGATGTTGGAATTCAGCCCTCTCATGCTAGGTATTCAGCTCTCTGCTTAGTGTGGAAATCAGAAATCGCCCTTCCCAAACCATTTCTTAGTACCATGAGATTAAGATACGCTTTCTCAGGGACAAGATAATTGAGACCAAAGCCTTCCTAATGTGTGTGTGTAGGCACCGACATCACGGTCGTCACAGCCCCCTTCGTACTGGGCGCTAAAAATGCACTTTCATAAGACCGCAGATATGTGCCAACATCCAAGGAATCTGTACTTAAACAACCCAAAGGCTGCCTCCGGAGAGCATACAAACGTACCTTCGGAATAAGTGTAAGAAAAAGCCTGACGAGCACAGCAGGTGTTACATCCAGCCTGCTGGGGCGCAGCAGTCTTAGCCTGGTTACCGCCAAGGAGCCACCAACGCATGTTGGGTCGGTGCCTCTCGAAGCCGCTGCTTCCCTATGATAGCTGACCCATCGTTGGCCGTTTCGAACTCTACAAATTGCAGTGACACTTTCCTTGTAAGACACATAAGAACGTCGCCATTGCTACAACTAACTGGTGCCTTGTTAAATTCCAGGGCCTCCATGCTCAATACATCAGGTGCTACGTGTTGTATTGGAAGATATTACATGGCGTTCCTCTCCACGGATGACTTTATGATTGCATTTACATGGTATATGAGGGTGTGAGTGATTTATGTATGATAAGTCTTGACATAGCCTCCTGTGGGGGCCGGGCTACGCTTCCCAAAGGATTCCCTGCGTGGGTGACCAGGCTCGGGTGACTCTCGGAAACGCTGCTGACAGTTCTTATCCCACGAGGAAGCAGGCTGTAGGTCTTCCATACTTGGCACTGGACGCCACAAACGTGTTCATCTACTTGTAGACAAACACGAGGTCCCGCTCACACTGTGCAGGCTGTGTGCCTAATGCAGCCTGATTTCGCCTCATTCTCTCCTTCATGCCTTGATGTTCACACCTCGAAGCTCCTTTTAGATCTGTTACTCTACACCACATCTTGAACAGAGTTTTCGGTTTCTAAACGAGCGACTCTTTCTATGAGAAACATAGTGAGTGCATTTGAGGACCTCACAAGGCCAGAATGGACCGAGTCGGGTTACAATCCCAAGCCAGCGCGAGCGCGGGTCGTCTTCTCCCAGCGTCTCAGAGCCATACTGCAGAATCAAACATACCTTCCGCAATCCCTTTGAGCTCACATGCGGAGGGAGAACAACTCGCGTCACCGCGTAAGCGTGTCAGCGGCACCCCTCCCACACTTGCCCGGGCAGCTTCCGTAAGTATCAAATTTACCCTCGCACAAAGAGCGTACCTTAGCTCTAGAGAATCAAATTGCTAAGAGATCAAATTCAAGATGCCATATCAAACCCGAAAGACAACCATTGTCTTGGAAGCTGATAATAATGAAGCTCTTGATTACGTGCCTGTGACCAGGCAACAATACGAGGAAGAGATCGCACTCCGACAAAGGATTGAAGCCGATTTGGAGGAGAAAAATCACATGCTTGCTGACTACGACAACAAATTAAAAGACGCGGAGGCAGTTCTTGCCACAGTCCGAAAGAAATGGAAGCAGGCAGCCACAGACCTCGACAAGATGAAGTCTTCGCAACAGCGTGGTTACCACATGACAGACAGCGAGCTCAAGGACGCCGTGACCAGGCTCCGGTACAACATTAGCCGCTTCGCAATCCAGTACTTTGGTGGCAGGCTGCCAAGAGAAACCAATATTGATAGGATCATGGACTCTAAGGACTTGAACGGATGGAGACATTTGTCAAATTTCCTGGGTAACCGAGACATCACAATCTCATACATTGATTCTGATAGGCGACGACCCTACATTGTCCAGGCACTGATCTGGGACACAGTGTACTGGGCTGTGTTTGGCGAGGCACTCTGGGCTGGGCGAGAGATGTCCAAGTCGTTCAAAAACCTGTCCGAGCAATTGCAACAATCAGGTATGCCAACCACTCGTAGCCTCGAAAACTGCCAAATATTCATGCTTACCCTCAACAGCGAAGACCCAAGGTAGCGATTCTGACATCGAGGCATGCCGAAGATTTTGTCTATGGAGAGCCGAGACGGCAGCAATGGTTATTCAAATAACCAACTCGTCCAGGGCGGAACAGGAGAGTAGCAGCAACTTCTTCCTGGGCAAGATTGAATGGGTATGCGATCGCATTTGCAAACACCTTATGCCACTCACAAAATCCACCAATGGTCTCCGGGAGGAAGTACTTGATATTCTGAAAGAGACAGCGAAGCTTGACGAGGCCATGAAACGACAAGCTGTTCGCCTGGAATGGACCATTCCCGAGCCCCAGGGGCGATTTGATAGCGATACGATGACCCTAGCCAGCGGGGAAACTTGGGACGCCGACATGGACGGTATCTGCTTGACGACTTCTCCCGGGCTGGTCAGACAAGGTAAATCAACCGGTGACGATTTTGGAACCGAAACAAGATTGCTGTTGACGGAGGTATCTTGGTTCCCTAGTCCGGCAAAGGTTCGCCGAAACCGAACCGTCTAAGCATCAAGTACCGGAGGGAACAGGTCAGGTCGACATAGGCTACAAGACTTGGAGCAAGTTGGCTAGAGATCACATCCGTCCCAAAAACAAAACATGCCCGTCAAGCCCATGGCAGATAAAGACAGTGGGGGCACGCTGGTCGAACAAGTCTCCTTCGTCGGCACACGTCATGGCAAGCAACGTGACAGAATCACAGAAGGCAATAAGAGTGGTTGGAGATTATAAGAGTGGTTGGAGATTCTCTTATTTTGTTCATCGTCTATGTCCCGCATTCGGACATCCATTCCTCAAAACTCCATGCCGCATCCACGCCGGTACCAATGTACATGCTAGGTCTACACTGACCATCTTATGTCCCAATGCCTTTTTCGTTATAATACAAGAAAACCACAAAACGCGAATGTGATGATAGTAGTAATGACACACCAGACGCCCTTAAACAAACTTGGTTTTCATCCGCGCGCCTACCGTTTGCGCGTATCTCTACCCTTCTTCTTGCTCTTCTTTTTATCTTTGGGCAAGTCCAATGCCGTGCCCTTGAGTTGCTCTGCCATTGTGCGCAGCATGTACTCGTCAATATTATAGATACGCTCGCCCCATGCGTTGTGTTCGATGTCTTCGTCTGGTGCGACAGACTCGGAGAAGCGACCGAGGCCGGAGGGGCCGGGTCCGTTTTGCTCATTGGGGCCTTCGTCGCGGGGCGTGCCATGCCGAGTGCTTGAGGCCCCGGAGGGTGCGGCGCTCTTTTCATTGAAGTCGGCTTCATCCTCTTGAATTTCCTTCTCGGCAGCCTTAGCAGCTTCCACGTCTTCCTGATCTTCGGCCTGCTTAAGTTCCTCGCCAGCGTTGCGTGAGCTGCCGCTGTCGACTCCGCCGAGGAGACGGTCCATGGCGGCGTTAGCGGCGTCGTCTACCAGGTCGTTGCCCTCGGCACCAAGCACGTCGCGGACGGAGAGCTTGTTGAAGTAATCTGTTGTGAAGCTTCCTTCCTGAATAACGACATCATCTAGCATTTGCTTTTGTGATGCTTTGCGAAGAATATTGGCTTCGATAGTATGTTCGCTGACAAGTCGGTAGATGTGTACGTCGCGCGTTTGTCCGATACGATGGCATCTGTCTTGGCATTGCTTGTCCATGGCGGGGTTCCAGTCTTGGTCGTAGAAGATGACGGTGTCAGCGCCGGTAAGGTTGATTCCCAAACCACCAGAACGGGTGGATAGAATGAAGCACAGAATTCTCTCGTCGTGATTGAATCGATCGGTAAGAATTTGGCGTTGCTCGACTTTGGTGGCACCATCTAGACGTAAATATTTGTGGCCATGGATGTTGAGGAACTGCTCCAGAATATCCAATACTCTGGTCATCTGAGTGAAGATGAGAGCACGGTGACCGCCCGCTTGAAGCTTACGCAGCAGTTTATCCAAAGCTTGAAGTTTTCCACAGTCGTATTGGAGCAGCCTCTTATCGGGGAACTGAATGCTCAGGCGCATACGGGCTTCGTGCCAGGGGTCGATGGGAGCCTGCTTGGGTATGAAGGGGGCCCATCGAACTGGTGCAGATAGCTTCAAGTCCTCGTCGGTGAATGCATTCGCAGCTTTCCGGCCTAAGATGACTTCGTTCATGTCGCGACTGATGACAGCGGGAGTGACGCAAGCGAACTTTTGAATAGTGGTCTGGAACGAGTCCGCACGATCGTCCGAGGTGCGGATGACTGCGCGAAGGAAGTCTGAGTCCTCGGCAAACCAGTTGAGAACCTCAGAAGGAACTTTTGGGCGAGGTTTTCTTGGCCTCTGATCCAACCCAAGAGTGAGGAATTCAACCAGACGCTTGCCATAAATGGGTCGACGCTGGCCGCGAAGAGCGTTCAGGTAGACACTGTGTTGCAACTCTTCGAAGCGACGCCATCTAGCTAAGCTGTCGAGATAGACAATGTTTGACTCAACGGTTGACGGGTCAAGATTCGTGCGAGCAAGGTGGGCTCTGGCGTTCTGAGCTTCACGAAGCTCCATCAACGCCCTGTGTAGACTCAGTTGTGAGATCCTCTCGGCGGTCGTGTTGGACATGGTCTCGAACTGCGTGGGAATCATGTTCAGCACCCCGAGACTGACCACAGACATGGGCTCAACCTTCAGCAGTGACCGCTGAAGGAAGGATTCTGTACTCGAGTACTCCGCTGGCACCGACTTCTGTATCCGGAAAGATGTCATGATGGGCCGGTCCACGAAAAGATCAGGATGGTTGCAGACCTTTCGCAGCTGCATGAGACAATTGATGATGGACAGATAGTTGCCCGACGACAGCGTATCCCGCGTATCGCTACGAGCCAAAAATCCATCGTACAACTCGCGCTGCCGCTTGGACAAGCGGCAAAACTCGACGTGCTCGTGCTTCGCCGGCATTTGTTTCTCAACGTCCGCCTTGAGTCTTCGAAGCAGGTAAGGTCGCAGTACTTTGTGCAACTTTGCGATGATGGCGCGGCCCTCCTCGTCCATGGTATCGCGGCCCTGCTCTAGGATCTGCGACTCTGGTTTGCGAAACCAATCTTGGAATTCATGCAAGTCTGCAAATCCGCCCGCACCGTTCTCAGAGGAGGGCATCAGGAAGAACAGCAACGACCATAACTCGGTTAAGTTATTCTGCAATGGGGTGCCCGTAAGCAACAACCGAGAATGTGTGTTGAATCCGAGCAGGTTGCGCCAACGTTGTGACTTGAAGTTCTTGATGTTATGTGCTTCGTCAAGAATCATGTAGTGCCATTTGCGACGTTTGAAGACTTGCACATCTTGAAGGACCAGCTGGTAGGAAGTAATGCACACGTTCCAAACATCGTCACTATTCCATCCTTGGCGCTTCCTTTTTCTTTCCTCAATGGTTCCGTAATAGGACAGGATCTTGAAGCCAGGGCACCACTTCTTGAACTCCATTTCCCAGTTGAGCATGACACTCGTGGGCACGACGACAAGATGGGGTCCCCACACCTCGTGATGGCAAGCGAGATGGGCCAGCAATGAAATGGTTTGGATTGTTTTTCCGAGACCCATTTCGTCTGCAAGAATACCATTAGTGTTGTTGGCGTACAGACCCGAAAGCCAATCCAATCCGTCATGCTGATACGCGCGCAAGGTGCCGCGGAGAAGGAATGGGATTTCCGTTTTCGTGGCTTGCGGTGTGGCGGGCGTTGCTGGCGTTGCCGAGCGGCTGACAATGTCTTTCACCCCAGGCGTTGCCAGAGACATGGTGTCTACTTCGGAAGGCTTCGTATCAGACGTCGGGGGCGAATGACTCTGTTCTGGGCTAGGCGGCACAGTAACGACGTCGGTATCAGGGCTCACGTGTTTGGATGGAGCCTCTGAATCAGGAGCGATGGCGGTTTCTGGTGCATCGAGTTTTGGCGGCGCATCTTCCATCTCAATGTCTCCACGTGGAGTATTGACATCCTTCACAGGATCGGCAGTGGGGGGTTCGGTGGTGTTCGTCGTCGAAGGGGCGGGGTCAACGCCGTTAACCATCTCCGCGTCAGCCTTTGGTGAAGACGCCATGGGCTTGTCCTCCGACTCTGCCACGCCAGTCTCTGTCGGTAAGCCGCCTTCAGATTCAGCAGCCAGAGCAATCTCGTTTTCCTGAATGGTCTTGTCGACATCCATCTCATCCTCATCGACAAATATGCCGGGGTGCTGAATCAAAGAAACCTCATCTTCATCATCGACTGCTTCATCCCTGAACGGAGTGGATGCCTCGCCTTGTGCAGCAGGGGTTTCCACTATAGGTGCATCGTTCTTCGTGGACTCTTCGTCATCTGGTGCGTCGTTCTTCATCTTCTTCAGATCGGATTTGCCAAAGAGCATGCCAAGCAATCCAGCAGGTTCTTCGTCTTCACTCTCCTCTCCGGAACCCTCCTCCTCATCGGTTCCATCGTCGCTATCGTCCATATCCGTTGATCCAAGATCGTCATCCATGTCAACCGATTCATCAGAGGTGTCGTCTTCGGCGGCACTTGTTGGCACTATCTTCACGTCTGCCCCGGAGTCCACACCATTGACGAGCTTCTCGGCGGGCTCCTCCGCAGCCAAATCGGGCAAATTGGCATACTTCGCGCGGAGTTGTTCTTGAGTAAGTTTCTCATCACCGGCATCACCAGTGTGCTCCTCGCCCGCTTCGTCCTCGTCCGATGATGACATGACATCGTCGTCCTCGTCGCCCGAATCGTCATCATCAGCGTCAACTGACGATGCGTGGCTGTTCTCCGCGTCGCTATCAAGGCCATCGGGGTCGTTGTCGTCGTCGTCGGGAAGACCGTCTTCGTCAGATACATCGGAGTCTGCTGGGGCCTGGCGCGCCAGAAGCTTCTGCTCGGAGAGATCAACAACGTCCTGTAGCGCAGCTTTAATTCTACGCGCCTCCTCGGCCTCCCATTCCTGGACGCGTCGTCTGTTGACTTCGAATCGCACGCTCTCCCATGTGCCAAACATGCTCTTGACTACAACCCTGTATCGGCCAATCCATACGTCTCTTGCTTCTGCTTCAAGCTCTTCCGCCGATTTGGGTTGGCGTCGAAGCCAAGCATCTCGGCAAGCCTCAGCAATCTTCTTGGCCTGTGCGCGATGTCTCTGCTGCTCTTGTAGCATCAGCCTTCGGAAGTTCGTCATGGCCTTAACCATGTGGTCACGACGGGCCCATTGGCGCGGGGGCTCTTCCTCAGCTTCGGGTACGAAGATAGAGCATCGGTCTTGGGAAAGGATTCCGCCAGGTTCCACCGCCGCTTCTACCCGTAAGACGATTTGGGCATCCCTCTTGGCCATCTCATCAGTGTAGGCTGGCCCATCTTCTGGCAGGTATATACCTCCCTCATCCACATGTATCGTCTGTGCCTTCTCCCAGTATTCCTCGAATGTAGGACCGATCTTTAGCCGTTTATGAACCTGTCCGGGATGAACAATGGGCAGCTCCGTTGACCGTGGTACGCGCAGCTTGATTCGTGTGCGGTTGGGGCTCGTCGACGT